AAGGACCTGTTTGCAAAATTAAAGAAGTTTTGGGACAAAAGTGAAAATACTAAAAACTTAAGGGACCAAAGATGCAAATCGTGGACTAATTCTTCTTTTCCAGCGGCTGACCTAAATTTCCCATATAAATATACTTTTAGTATTTTTAGGGCAGCCGTACGTGAGGCAAGGCTAGCACCTCCCACCTCTTGTTTTTCCGAAATTTTCATTGTTTTTCCATGGAGAATCAAGCCGTCATACTTCCAATTATGAGTGGCTAAGTTTTCTTCTCTGATTCAAGGGATTTAATTTATTTTTTTCACTTGTGAGGTTTTGTTCTTGGATTTAATTCTTGTCTACGGTTTGAGTAGTTTGTTGATTCTTGTTTAAATTTATAAAAGTGAATACCAATTAAATTGACAACTTGGTTGTGTATTTTCTTTTATTTGCTATTCTTTGGTCGTATGTTACGTAATTGACACGAATTATTGGAATTTCGTAGCAACTAGGCGGATCTTGTGCATTAGTGAGACTTTGGATGCTCTTGTATACCTGGTAATAGGATTAACGAATCATAATTTAAATTATTGCAACTATCTCAATGATTTATGTTGTGTTTCAAGTATATTTCCATAGGATTTATTGTTGTCATTTATTTGTATAGAACGCTATCGTGCCCAGTGATTTATGATAAGTGTTGATTAAATGTTAGGTTTGGTCAATGAATTTAGAGAGATTATAGATTTACTACGGCTATCTTGGTATGTCTTAACTTGAAGGCTCGAATTGCAGGAATACTTTTAGATGCCTATGATCAGTGAAATAATTGAATGATCCATCTCTTGAGTCAGAAGTTTGCTATTTTCATTTCTTTTCTTTATTTATTTTATGTTATTTGAGTTTTCAGTATTATAGACTAGAACAACAATCAAAAAATCCATTTGCATTAGTTTGAAGGAAACAATCCATCGTTCCCTGAGGAGACAACCTTACTTTCTCTATACTACTATAGTTGAAGTAGGTTTATTTTATTTGTGTGGTTTGACACCCCATCAAGAAGATGTAGATAAAGAAATCAATTGAAAGGGAATTTTCAGAATTCTCTCAAGAACAAGAAATTTTAGATATTTGCAAATACTAAGTGACAAGCCGTCGTCACACTAGTCAAATATTAATTACCTACTTAATACATTTACTAGTAGTAAAGTAGCAAGTAGGGTCGATCCCACAGAGAAGGAATACTAATTACCAGGTATAAATTACTCCTATTATTATCTAGATAAATGATGATCTCAGATTTATAAAATTTAAAACTAAAATAAATAAATAAAATAAAAGCAAATAATATTAATTCAAATAATTAGACAAAGACAACCTAGGACATTGGGTTCACCTACCGAATATTTGGGTTAGTTCAATTCACAAATATCTGACTTTTAACTTCCATTAATCTCACAACGATTCACCTAATTAAGAACTATACACTCTCGTGTTATAATTCTCTTACTTATATTAACCCTATGACTACTCTCGTGACTATAGGGATTAACAAAAGCACATTAAGACCATTAAGAACCAAATATTGCAAAGGTTATAATCTTACTCTCGTAGCTTACAACCTAAGTTTATTATTCCTACGAACTAATATTAATCTTCCACTCTCACTACTTCGATTAATATCTTCAGACGTGCAAATAGTGGCCAATTACTTACACGGATTAAAACAAGAATAACAAATATTAATTAATGGAAAAATCAAATAATAATGAACCAAATAAACCAAATAAATTCGGTGGCTACACCCAAGCCCTAGATTAAAATAATTTAGCCACTAAACATTATTAAAAATAATTTAATAATATTTAGAGACATAATAAAAATAAATAAATTAAATAATTAAACTTTAAAACCGAATGAAGCCAAAACCGCCAAAACTCCCTCGGTTGTTTACTTTGCTTCATGCTGCTGCTTCGGTGGATTGAAGATGAAAAGCTGCTGCGCGAATGGTGGTGCGGCGGTCGATGGTGAAGAGGTCGGGAAGAGGAAGAAGGTGATGATGATGACGGCTGGTGCGTGGCTGCCGTCAGTGGTTTTGCTGCGTGAAGAAGGAGAAGAGGTAGTTGCAGCGGCCGGAAGCGAGGAGGTCGGGGACGGTGATCAAGTTGGGGCTGGGATGGTGTGGTGGTTATGGAAGCAAAGCGGCGGTGAAGAGGAAGGCGGAGAAGGAGGAGGGAGTTTGGTGGTGGTCGGTGGTGATGGAGGTTTTAACCGTAGGGTTCGGTGGTTTTCGGTCAAGTTTCGGTTCAGTTCTGTTGTAAAAATAAATCTCTAATCTCCCTTTTATAGGCTTCCGGCTAAACCCTACTCCTTGAAGAACAAGAAAACTTGTTTCCCAATTAATATCGGGATTAAAATTCTTATCCAATTCCAATCCGAAATCAGCCGTATAACCATAAGCTTCTCGGCCAATTTTCCAAAAACAAGAATTCTAAAATTGCATCATCGGCCCTCCAATTCTTTAAACTCATTAATTTCTTCCCCATCAATTTCTCCAATCTTCAATTCTTTTCCATTGAGTTGCTTTTAATTCGATTTTAGCTCAAAACTTCAACAATTCTTCATTTGAGTCCAATTCCTACAATTAAAGATAAAATCACATAAATAGCATATTTGTACTCAAAATATATTGCAAAAATCACAAATTAGGGATATAATAAATAGGTAAAATATAAGCATATCACTAAGGCAAGGAGGAGTTGTTAGAAATAATTGCCTTAGTAACTTGATATGTTTTTTACTGTTTTATTGAGTTTTTGAGTAAGTTTTTTCACGTTGTTTTTTGTTGCAAAATTTTAGGGATATGGTAATACAATTTCAGATTATGTGAGTAGTGGTTAAAATAATAGTAGGAAGTTATTAAGTAGTAGAAGTCATATGAAATTGGGAATTATACATGTTTTCTTAGCCTATTAAATAGTTAGTCATGTACAAGGAGTCATTTGCTCCCAAAATCATAAATAAGCCTTCTTTTTATGTCTCTAAATGCTACACTGAGTATAACTTTTTCATCCTTTGCATTTGGATCAGATGACAAGCCTAAACAGAAAAATGTTGTCAGATGCTTTTTAAGAAGTCGTATATTCTACCATTTCAAGCTTTGTTTACACCCCATGAACATTCCTCCATTGGTTCGAGCCATTAAAGAGTTGCTAAGCCAACCATGGACAAGAGTTGCTAAGCCAACCATGGACTGTGAAAGTTACACACGAGTTTGGGAAGGCCAACTTTGAGGCAGATTTTCTACCATCGCTTACAGCATCAATCCCTGGGGTTTTCAAAGATTATATGATCCACTAACTGTTGTGAAGTCGTGGTTAGCACATGATTTAGCAAGTGTTTCATATCTGCATAACATTGTAATACCACCGTCTTAAACTTCGCCCTCCTTTTTTTACCAAAAAAAAAAAAAGAAATACAAACAAGTCTTCATCATTTGTCTAATGGCGATTGGATTTTGTTAGATCTTCATGAAGTAAAACCGACCATATGATGCAAATAATCCCAGATCTCAATAGGACTATAATTAATCCCAGAGCTAATAGTGTTTATTTTAATACTCTCTCCATTCTATTCATTAACTTCAGTTTCAACTTGTATTTTTAATACAAATCGTATTAAATGTGAATGCTCAAGCATGACAATTATTTCAGGATAACGAAATTATATGATAGCTTTTAACAAGCAAATCAATGGGGCGTGGCATTTCTCAACAATTAGTTTAATTGCCAGGTTTGAGTGAAAAGTTCGGTTGATTCAAAATTTTGTTCAAATTCAAACAGTGAGCTTCCCAATTCTCACATATGTGAGAGATTTAGAGGATTCAGTGTTTGAGTAAAATATATTTGACTCCCAAACCTGAAGAAGATGAAAAAAAAAAAAAAACTATTTTCCTGTCGATTATCTGGGCTGGCTAGTGTCCGAACCCAGTTCAATTTTACAATTCCCTGTTACCACATCCCTATTCCCTCATCTCTTATGTGCAAATTCGGCTAATTTTCTAGTCGTATTATTACCTTGTAATGGATGTTTATTTCATTTATCATTAAAGAAATTGTTCTTTTGATTGTACTTCATTGTAGCCAAAAATAAATAAATAAGTTTAGAAAAAAATGAAAAATGAATAACACAGAAATTTTTTAAATAGATCGCTTAGTCAAAAATAAATACAAAGATATCGTCTTTAAATATAGAAAGAAAATCCATATTCAAAAAATACAAATGAAAGTGACTCATATTTATTGAGAATCAAATTTTGCAACGGACTCCTTTTGCATCTTTAGCTACTACAACTGCTGAAGGATTACATAGGCTTAATGTATCATCATCGGTTGTTTAAACCGTGATTAGAACATAATATAATCGGAATTTCTTATTTACGGTCGGTAATAATCTAGAATTAAGGAGTTGTTCTCCTTCATTATAAAAAAAATAATAATAATAAAATACAAATGTTACCGAACATTGGATTGGCCATTCACGAGAAAAGTGGATTTCGCTATGCAATATTTTTTTCTTTTTCTTTTGGGTTCATGATATCATACGAGTTTTTTTTTTAAAAAAAAACCTGTTCAATTTTAAAAACAAATCTACTGCACAATGGTCTGAAAATGCGGACTAAATATTTCTTCAAACAGACTTCCATCCCAAAAAAAGTAGTCCACATTAAGTTTTTAAATTTGTACTAAAAACAGTACAAAACTAAAAACTCAATGGGGACTATTTTTTCAAATTTGTACTAAAAACAGTACAAAACTAAAAACTCAATATGGACTATTTTTGTGGGACGGAGGGAGTATAATTTTGTTGAGTAACCTTACTCCAAGTAAAGAAGACCCAAAAACTAAATAGGCTTCATTAGCTTTACGTTGAAGTCTGCCATATAGTTGAACGAATAACACAAAAATAGTACAGTAATAATAAAAGTCGAAAAGAACACAAATGATGACCACTTAGGATCACCTTATTTATTCAAGACACGCATTAAAATTGAACAGAACCTTTAATACAATCTCATTACAACAACGTAAGAAGGAAAAGTCCAGTTTCCAGGTGGCCATGCATTTATGACTTCTGAAAAGACAATATCCTTGAAGAAATTTGCTCTTCCTTGGATCAAATTGGAGCTCCTTTTATTCACTTCAACAATTAAGCTGAGATTATTCGACACACAACAATACTTTAAAAACGACCATATATATTTAAGGAAACAAACATGTTAAGATTCAAGGTTGTTGTTTTAGGGACATTGGTAATCGTCTCCTGGATTCACTTTACAAGTATCAGTGATAGAAGGAATGTTAAGCGGAAGAGTCATGTTATAAAGGCCCAAAACGTTCACTTGAACTTTTGTGCAAAGGCAAGCCACAATTTCACGATCAAGAAGGCCGGTCAGAACCGGGCAGCATTCTCCTGAAACTCCAATGTTGACTCCAATTATACTACTCACATCAACACATACTCTCAGTTGTATGGCATTTCTTGGGCAAGTTGCCGTCGGAGTTGCCGGTTCAGGTGCGGGTGCCGGCTGACTTTCGGCGAAAATGACGAGGTTTAGGACAAGAAAAATGGCTACCAATTTGGTGGCCTCATGACTCATTTTAGCTCGTCAGCGATGCAAAGAGAAGGAGAAAGGTGTTTTGCTTTGGGATGAAAAAGGGTGTGATAAGTAGGGTTTTTATAGTGAATTGTGAAGTATATAGTATGTGCATGTTTTATTGCATGGACGGCTCAATCTCGACGTAGACTGAACAGTGATTTAATGATTTTAGCTAGGCTTTTTGAAAATTGTTAGGTTATAAGTTAGGCAAAATTATTAGATCTTTTTTAAAAAAATAAATTTATTTTTCTAGCCTGTTTTGGAGGCCAACTATTCGAAATAAGCTTTTTAGAATAACGAATTAATGTAATTTTTCAAACTTTAAGGTGATTGTGGAGGTTAATAATTAGACTATAATTGTGATGGCGAATGTGGTCGGAGGATCAATAATCAGGAGCTAACTCTTGACTCGAACATGGTGATGGTATTGTATGGCTTACTTCTCCCGAAGTGTAATAATTTATTTAATTTTTTAAGGTTGTTAACCTCTCTCTTATTATACCGAAAAAAAAAACACAAAAAAAGGAGGCACCAAGGGTGAAAATGAATAATAATCTGGAAAGTAATTATATGACTATTATTTGTTTTCTGAAGTTTTACAAAAGAAATTATTGCTTTTCACATTGCCTTGATATGTGTCGTCTTCTTCTTTCAAACTGTCTACTCTTTTATCGTTGAATTTTTGAGACCTTGTTGAGAAAGAAAATAAATTTAATAGATTTAACTTCTTAATACTCCCTCTGTTCTTATTATTAGATATTTTGATTTGTATTAAATTTTAATTAATATATTTTTTAATTAAAGAAAACCTTAAAGATATATCTTTACATTCATTATGCCCTATTAATTATTAGATAATATTTTTAAGAATTTTTTCCGAATAAAAAAATATAATAGGTGAAACTTAGAACAAATCAAAATACTAGAGAGGAATTCATCATTAGCATCCAAACACTGAGCGATGTACATATGTTTTTTTTTACCCGAGATTTTAAATTTCTGGTAGCTTAAATTAATAATATTAATCATTAATGAGTACCGACTGTAGACATCTTCTAAATATACAAACAAAAATCAACAAAAAGCATATAGATGGAACATCAATTTACAGAAGTAATTAGGCACTTAACCTCTCAACTCTCAAGATTATGAATACTCCAAAGTACATTCCAAAAGTGTGAGTTAAACTCCCTTGTAACTAGTACTACAGGTTGATATTTAGTCGAAAAATACAAATACCACAGAAATAAATAAAAAATACATAGTAGTAATAATAATTCCTCTACCTATGTCTTATCGAGATAACTATTGGGAAGACAATTTAATTGAACTCTAGAAAGACACTAAAACTGAATGCACTAGTAGCTAGATATAGTAAAACTTATCTAAATTAATAGTGTTGAAACCATTAAAATAATAAATTTAAAAAATTATTAAATAATCAATCAATTAATAAATTATTAATTTGAAAAGATTTTCCTTCAGGAAAGAAATATTACTAAATTAAATAATTTTTAATTATCTTTACCATCCGAATCAACTAAGTATTGAAATTTTTATAAATCCTAAAATCCATACATTGTTACATCATCTCTAGAGACTAAAAAAGATGCCTTAATAGTTCATATTTTACTAATAATCTAAATTTATTATTTTTATTTAGAAATAATTTATAGTATTATCAGGATTTATATATATATATATATATATATCAGAGATTTTCTAAAATATTATTATCTTATTATTTTATCAATTTTGTTCATTTTTTGTACTGCTTAGAATGGTAATTAAGTGAAATTCTGATTTATAGATTATTAATTTCAAATAATGCCATCCAAAAAAATTACTGCCTTAACAACTGCTTTATTTTTGTATAGGGGTTAGACTTTTTCTTTCCAGTGTTATCCTACCCAACTTATCAGGCAAAGTTCCAAGTTACTTCCTCTGGTCCTTATTATAAGTTATTTTTATTTGTCTTAAATTTTATCTAATATGTTATTCTAATTAAGATGAGCTCAATATGCACTTATTAACTCAAACTGAGGCTAAACTACTTTGAAAAAAATGATCAATGGAAGATTGAGACCTCGGTAAATTATCAAGATGTTTTTTCAAGACAAAGACACCATTTTTCTTTATTTTCTTGAAAATTGTCAAACAATAGTTGCTAGTAGAAACATAAAACTATTAAAATATCGTATTTTAATTTTTTTCTCTAAATCGTTGTTGGATGATTTTTAGTATATATATATATATATATATATATATATATATATATTTTGATGTTTTCATTTAAAAATAAATAAAGTGATTTTACAGTAAATCACTAGATCGTAAATCACTAGATTGTAATAATTTAATTTAATTAGGACGGTACCTGACATCATAATAAATGGTGATACTTTTAAATCAATTTATAACTAATTAATCTATACTCTGTACTAATGTCAATCCTAGTTTGATTTAGCCGTTAGGGTGGGTGAGTTTTTCCCGACGTTAGTTTAGGTTGGGCTAGGAGTTCAAAAATGCATTGAGGCTAGAAGTTTGGTAGAACCCCAAGAAATGTTGGCCATTTTAAGTTGATTAATCAGAAGTTTTACTCGTTGAGAGTAGAATATGTGGTTTACAATGTTTGTGCTGAACTCGCTAGTATATATTGTTGCACTTGTTCTATATCGTCTAAAAATATAAATCTATCTGGGCATTATGATTATATAATTTAAAATTTGAGACTTTCATCTCTAATAAGTAGTATTACTGTATTACAATCAATGATGGACACATCGTTCATTATGATAAATATGTAGAGATCTATTTATTGTGAGCACAATCATTATAAGAGTAATATGTTTTGCGTTGTTTTTAGATTTTTTTTTTTTTTTAACATAAAACGCAGCTAGATGGTTTTCAGTAAATTACGAAACTATTTGTTTCTTTCTCAAGGAAAAAAGGCATCGATCCTTTTTCAAGAGTTTAATTAACACATCTACCATGTTGACCTGTTTTCAAGTTCTCTCTGTTTAATGATTGAATTAAAATTAATACTTTATTATTCAAATTCAGGTTCTAATACAAAAAGATCTGCAAATTCAAAAGAAATTGTTGGAATTCGTTTCCAATTGCAGCATTTCCTTCAAACTTTAGGGAAATAAAAGAATAAAAGTAACAGACAAGAGTCAATCTTGATTCATTTGTTAGAGGCTGCAGGGTGGGTTGAAACTTTGGAGTCATTCTTTCCTTCAAGGTGAGACTAGCGGAAGTTCCAACTTCCAATGAGAGTTACTGTTGTTCGCGTGATTCGAGCAATCGACCAAATCGCAACTCAACTGGTTTACAAATGGCAACAAATTTTGTTCGCAAGTTATCAGTTGAGCTGATGAGTAGAGACCTGGAGTTTAGGAGGATTGTTTCATCTGAAACTGGGGAGTTTAACTAGTTATGCAGTACAGTTTTTCACTGCGTACCCCTGGAGGAGTTGATGAACTAGTTTCGATTTTCCATCGTTTCTTCCCTGCGTTTGGCTTGACAAAAGAAGATTTCCAAATCAGAGAAATTCCGTTTCCACATAGAGGAAAGTTGATGATCATGCGCAAAAATATCTATTGGGGGGAAACCAGCATTCAACCAGACAGAAACTGGGGTGTGCCATATTTCAACTACAATTTTCATCGGTTTGTCAGAGTGAAAACTCTGGTTGATCCCACAAATTTCTTCAAATTCGAACAGAGCTTCCCGCTTTTCCATATTAGAAGATCCAAGTACAAGAATAAGTTTTTGAGCAGAACAAATCTCAGTCGCCAATTAGTGTTGGATGTCATGAGTTCAATGTTGCAAAATAATGGGTTGGTCAAAGTACTGTCTTTTCAATAATGCAGGTCTACTTGCACATGACACCAGATACATATAGAGAATATGTAATGAATATTTCTTATGTACTTATAGGTGCTATAAAACAAAGATAGTGTTTATCTTCCGAAAGGGTAACTTTATTATGCATAAATAACAAGTCAGCGCGATACAATACAACCAGAACACAAGTTTACCAGACAAATGAGATCTTCCTGATTCTCCATTTTGTATGTTTAACGTTGAGGGTTGCCTTCTGATACAACTTGGAAGCTCCGACTGCAATCACCTGCTCATTGCTAACATCCACTGTGAATTCTTTCAATCCTGACGATCAGTTCGTAAAATCATTTATTGGAAAGATCTGCATATGGTAATATAACAATCCATTTTAATCAAATGTCGATTTGGAAACCGATCTCTTACCACGTATCCTCGAAATAACTTGGAAGACTTTCCATCTGCAGAAACTGCATCCTAATTTCACCTTCTTCAGCACTACCACCTGAAACTGAAAATTGCCCAAGTTAGCTAGTAAGCTTATTTTTGTACGTATAAATTGAAGAAAGAAATTGCTAATGAGGGAGTTTCTTTTGGCTCACCGATGGGACTGCTAGATTTGCCACGTACAAAAGAGCTCGCTCGCCTAGATTCTTCATCGCTGGCAATTATGCCCAAAACTACTTGACAGAAAAGATTTTAAGTTTTGAATGAGCTAAAAAAGGACCTGCAATGGTTGTTAAATACAAAAACTCACCGTAATTAATCTTCAGAGTGTCGTATCGAAGCTTTAGTTGGAACATTTGGTGGGGGATGGTCGCGGCACGTTGTAGGCACCGACAAAAGTTGGTTAAATAATAACTGGAAATCTGGTTCACTTCCATGTCTTCATTAGCCTTTTCAGCTAATGCAATTCCATATTATATTTAGTCTAAATTTGCAGATAAGATTGAATACTGAAAAAGAAGGAATTACCTGGTACAAGATGTGGTTAAGTATGGGTTATATGTTTTGTTAAAACGTTAATCCACTTTAAATGCAAATTTGGTTGGAATTTCCAGCTACTATCACAACTGCTACAAGGATAGGAATAATACCCAATAATATGATACATCCAATAATGAATGCACCAACTGTATTAATACTGTAGTGAAAAGTACTGATTACAACATTTGTACACGTAGTGATGTACTTCTAATCCATTAATTGGAAGCAATTTTAAGAGTAACTTATGGATATGTTCAAGACTCGGTAATCTTAATCGATGATCAGCAGTATTCATTAAGATAAACCTCACAACACCCTTGCCATTTGCACACAAAACAAGAACATCATTCACTGGGACAAACGGCAAGAAGCAGGGTAAAATGCCCAATGTTCAACATATAATCTAACCTCTGAATCTCTTGCTTCCTTTTTCAGTTTTTGATGTTCTTCAAATTAGCTGCTACTCTATAAACAAACATGTACAGTAACAGATTTCTCTTCGCATAATAAATGAGACCATCTCAGCGAGGGCAACAGGATTTGTCAACAGCAGCCTAGCATCTTGACGCCACTCAGAACCCAAGCGATGCGAGTCCAAAGGCTGATTCCGGATGCACACTGAGAGATGGCAATGAAGCAAGCAGAACTACCAGCTCAGATCACAATTCTTCAGTACAGGCTAAATCCTTCACATATAGTCACTCTGCACAAATTTAAAACCCTTACAACATTAAGAACGCATGGAAAACGACATTCTAACTGAAGTGCGTAATGATTGGTAATTAAAAGCACGTCATGCGTGTATTTTGTCCCACCTCAATATGACAAGAAGCACCAATCAGAGACAACTGTGATACACATTACTTTAGATTTCTAACAAGATACTCATAAAAGACAACAGTAGGAGTTGGGAGATAAATATAGTCTCAAAACATGCTTCCAGAATTGGGTAAAACATTGACAAAGAAATCAAACATATACACCAAGATTCAGAGAGAGGTATATGGACATGGTTTTTCCATCACAGATCAGCACTTTTTCAATCAGTATTAGGAAATATAGAAAAATAATTCCTGATTCTACATAATGAATCATACAATTCAATCTGTCAAATTCCAGAAACTAAAACCCTCAATAAAACAGAGCATTGAAGTTAAATAACATTGAGCTACTTCAAAAAAATGCCCAACCTCATCTCCGTGATGAATGTCCATATCCATATCCACTATATGCGCCGTCTCTTCTGGGTTTGGACTTCTCTCCCTTCAAAGCTCTTTCTCTTTCCCTCTCCTTCCGCTCTCTCTCCAATCTCTCTTCCCTAAGCTCCTCCAAGCTCTTTTTCTGCTTCTTCTTAATCCCACCATCATCACTGCTATGTTTATTCTTCCGTTTCCCAAATTCCAGCTCACCGTTATAATAATCATCCTCATCAGCTCCATTCTTCTCATCATCAGCAGAATTTCCGGCCGGTCTCGACATATACCACGGCAATTTAACGCCTTTCCCGGCCACCCCATAACCTAGCCTATACTTCTCGTCCTCCGCCGTGATAACCCTCACCGGTTCCTCCTTTTTCACTCTTTTCTTACTGTCATTCCTCTTCACCTTACTCTGGTCCTTACTTTCGAAAATCGGATCGAAAATCCGGATCCCTTCGAACAAATTCATGTGCTTTGAGTCCGCTTCACGGGGTTGATCGGGTTCATGCTCCGCAGGTTGAGATTGGGGTTCGGGTTTGGAGGTTGAGGGTTTGGACAAACCGCGAGCTTGCCGGAGCTTCTCGAGTCGAAATTCGGCCTCGCGCTTGGCAGCCTGCTCCCGGTGAAGCTGTTCTTCCTTGGCGGCGGCTTCCTCATCTCGCCGGACTTTTTCGCGGTTGTCGAAATTGTAGACGTTCCACCGCTTCTGAGGAAGAATATTCAGACCTCCGTGACCTCCCATGGTTTCAGTCTCGATTTGGATTCGAAAAACGTTTGCTGATTCTAAGTTGTGAAGAATTTGGGGGAAGAAATCAAATGCCCTAATTTGGTTCAATTGGTTTCGAATTTTGACTCTTGGGTGTTCAAAGTGGAGGAAGATGTCGTGGAAGATGAGTAAAAAGGCTTAGATTTGAAGAAAGCGTGTAATTGGGCTTGGTTTCAAAAGCCCAATAGGATAAGTAGCCCATGTTATTTTACATAGACCACTTTTTTGTTGGCCCAAAATCGTAGCTACTAAAGAGGAAGAAAATGAAACGGTAGAAAAAATTTAAAAAAAAAATACTAATACGTATCCACATCGAGAAACAGTTCCAGATTATTAGACAATCAATCTGAGTATTTGTCCATGAGGGGGTTGCCGCAGTGGAACGGCCTTACACCCCCCTCACCCGCATGATCAACAAGTTTAGATTTACATGCAATGAACACAATAAGCGCTCTAACAGCATAATAGGATATCATATTCGGCTCTTAAGGGCTTGAATGGCTACCCTATATGCATCGTCGAGCTGTGCTTCTCGAGCTAGGCGATAAGCCTCTTTTGCAGCGCGCTGCTCATTGGTTGTACCCGTTTGGACTGTGAAACCAGTCTCATCAATAAAGATCATGATTGTTGAACTAGCATGGGCCTGATTTTGAGATGGAGAGATTACATGAGGTGAAATTCAGTCTCGTGATATGCATAAGCTGCCAAGTACCAAGACTACCTTCATCTTAATTAAGTACGGCCGGTTAATTACAAGTGAACACCGATGCAAATGCTTCTCAATCTACCTCTTTCGCCCGAATGCAAACACAGAATACTCACATGTAGCATATCCTGAAAAAACCAATAAGAATTTGTTAGCCTAAAATTCATTCCACGCCTTTTATCCGCAATCAAACCCATTCAGGTTCATGAATAATTGAGAAGAGCATGTTATTGACAGAATGACAAAAGAATAGTTCTAGGAACATCAAACAAATTTCAAACCTGCCAAAGAAGAGCTACTTGATTTCTGGTTTCTTGTTTTAAGAAATCAATCGAATAGAGGATGAACAGTGAGCTTGAAGATGTTTTTTCTGTCTGCGTTTTTGGCTTGTACAAGCTTCAACAAATGAAATCTCCTGAGAGAGTTGGACAACTCAGAATTTGCGCCGTGGAGGACCACCAATTGGAGGCTCGGAATATCTGTCAAGCCATCTGGGAAACTCCGAAGCTTATCACATCTGTTGAGTACAAGACTCCTGAGCATTGGAAAATTTTCTGCTTCCGCCTGCCAGACTACCAAATTTGTATGTCCAATATGCAAATCTTTAAGATGGCGAAAACCTCCCACCTCAGTGTGCCACAACTTTCCTTTAAATGCAAATTTTCCAAGCTTGAGGCATTCAAGGTTCACCAGTTTCCCTAATGTGGACATCTGCTCCCATTCCAACAAAGTATTAACCAAGGTAAGCTTTCTCAATTGTTTTGGAAAACCTTTTTCTGAAGGAAGACTTCGCAGCCCGAATGTTTCATCATCATTCAGTAACTTCAAATTCTCCAGGATTTCCAAATTGCAAATATTTCCAAATAAACTACATTCACCACCTCTAACCTCCAAGATTTCATTTAATGTACCGCAGATGCCCAATTTCTTCAGTTTGGGAGTCCAATAAAAAAGTTCTCTAGTGCAACTTTTAGGTGAAACATTGCACATTGTTTGGACAAACTTGTTCTGGGTTTGAGTGCTAGGGCATTGCAAAATGGTGGATGTATTGGTATGTAAATGCCTGAATTGTGACATCTTGGATAAGTCAGCTTTAATCTCCAAGGTAAGAGAAGTAGTATTTACTATCAGAGTTTGCAAATTCCACAGGCTAGATAATGTTGAGGGAAGGCTTGAAATGGTGGAGGATATAGCTAGATATTTCAATAGAACAACATTGCACAAGCTAACTGGAAAACGGGTGAAGGTGAGAGATTCAATCTCAAACACCTTGAGAAGCTTGAAAGTTTCTAGTATGAGTGGAACTAGTTCTGAGTCCAATAGTAATTCTTGCTCAACAAAAATTAAGAAAGAACGAATAGAAGTAGAACTACCTGAATGGTTCCCAGAAATATATCCCAAAATATCGACATTGTCAATGTAAAGGCGTCGATAGTGATTGGTGTTACTAAATGAAAAGAACAGCTCATCTTTCTTGATCTCGTGATAAAAGTTCTGTTTTGAACCTTCAGCCTGGCAGAAGGCACGGAGAGAATCATGCATAAGATAAGTTTTTATTCTCTGATTTGAGCTCCTCCGTCCAACCATCACTAAGTTTCTTTGAACAAGTTCTTCTAAATATTGCTCTGCTATAATCTCCAAATTAAAATTGTCGTCATTTAGTATAAGCCCTTCAGAAATCCACAAGCGCACCAATTTCCATACAGGGATTTCAAAATGAAAGATACCAAGGTAAAGAAGACAAGGCTTCAAGTAATCTGGTAGGTGCTTGTACATCAGTTGTATCACCTCGGTGATCTGTGTTGTATCCCTAGCATTGTGATCTTGTAAACTACTAGCCACCACCCTCCACCAATTAATTCTATCAGGATGATTTAAAACAATACCAGCAGCAACCAACAAAGCCAATGGCAAACCATTGCATTTTTTAGCAATTTGTATCTCATACTCTTGTATCTTAATAGGGCAATAGTTTGCATTGAAAACCTTCCACCTGAGTAACTTTCTACTTTCTTCCAGGTTTAGAAAATCCAAGTGATGAATCGAGTTGGGATTTCTTGGATTAGCATACTCTGCCACTTCTGTGTTGCAGGTAGTTATTAGGACTCTACACTGCAAGTCGTTGTTAGGGAAAACATTTTTAAATTTATCCCAATCCTTTGTGGAATAAACATCATCCAATACAAGAAGATATGATCTTCTCTTCAAGTTCTGATAAAGATACCTTTCTAGCTGTTCTTCATTCATCTTAGCTACAGGATCATTTATTTTGGTAAATGAAGTTAAAATTTTGAGCAGCACTTCTCTCTTGTTGTATTCATTTGAAACATGGACAAAGGCTCGAATTGCAAATATGTAATCAAGATCATGATCCTTATAGACCTGCTTAGCTAGTGTTGTTTTCCCCAATCCTGACATTCCGACTATTGAGATGATTTCAAGACGTTCTAGACCACCAGTCAGAAGTTTTCCAACCTCTTCAGCTGCCCTATCAAACCCAATTACTTGATCTTCTGGAACTCTTGCTGCCTTTTCAGTATGAAAAGAGCAACCCCGTGGGTAAAATTCAAAATTGAAAGTGTCCATAAACTTGAAAATGAAAGGGACAATATATATTACTCAAAACATGCATATATGGAATGCAAATATCCACAGAATTTTTAAGGCTGTCATGATCCGCAGATTCTGCATCCTAATTTCTAGTTGAACATCCCAGCACCATTTAAATTTAAAGGTTATTATCACAAATATTAAGGCTACCAAATCCATCGATTATGCATTTTAAATTCTAGTTGAGCATACAAACACACTGAAGTTTAAAGTTCAATGCTTTAGAGCGTGAGGAATCATTTGATAATGCAGGGCATTCAAATCTTAGTATTCACATAGACTAGACCAGTTGAAAAATGTTTTCACAAACAAGCTTATCAATTCAACATAGATAACCTAATTAGAAAGATCATAGCAAATTTGAATGGTTACTTAAAACTGCTGAAATAGAGCAGACATGCTTATTGAGTAAATTAAACCAAAGACCACAGTCCAACCGAGAACATATAGTTGAAACTGATTTTTGTTGAAAGACAAACCACAGTATAGCTGTGCTGATTTTTGGTAGTTACCTTAGTGGGATTTGCAGATCGGCTAAGGTTGCCAATGTCCTGGTATTGCAGTACCTCAAAGCCATTCTTTATGTTTTCCTCGTTGATTATTCTCTTAACTTTATTGCCAATTTCTGCAATCCGTCTAACCACATTCTGGAGCACCAGGGGGTAATCTCTCATCTCGTGAAAGGCCCTGGAAGCCCAATCTCTAGACTTTTCCACGGCAGCTTGGAGTATGTAAGTATCAATAGCATCCTCTGCTTCATCAAGTGCTGACTTAATCTCGTTTGTCATTTGCTTGAGAAACTTGGTATCGTGATGGTAGCTTGTGAAATCCTTCATCAGGCCCTTGAGGATCACCAGTTGTTGACTTAGTTCCACAAAGTTTTCCCTCACCTCAGCAATCAGATGAGGCTTGTACATGAGTATTTGCCTGATGTTGTCGACAAGGAAACTTGAAGCTGCGTCTAGAACAGACATCCTTCCCTGTCTCTTAGGCACTGTATCTGTTTCTGTTTCGGATTCTTTGACGATCTGGAACAAGGATCAAATGAATGAAACCATGGGAAGCTGACTTGAGTGAGACTCAGTAAAATTGCAAGCAATTTTTATTTGGAAAAAAAGGCCTTGTCATGTTTGCTAGACTGTGTAAGTATTGTCCAGATACTTAACAATAATATCTCCTTGTTTGTAAATACACTAATGAAACGTTCATCAATCATCCAAACTTTATTCAGTAAGTTGTAGGAGTATAATATATTGAATGCAACCAACAAACAGAGACATTTGCCTACAACCATGTATAAAGCAACCCCAAGTATCCATCATGAAGCTTACTAGGTAATGTTTTCTCTGGTAAGCATAGATAGAAGATGCAGTACATTATGCAGTATCTATCAGTTTGACTTAAAACAATTCCAATCAAACGAATGTCTTCTCATCTGAAGAAATCATGGACAAATTTGACATAGAATTGAGCGTCAAACAGACCCGGAAAAAAAGAAGAAAACTCCTGTAATTAAAGATCATCACATTTCTCATCCGCTTGGACCAAGAGAGACCAAAAGAGACCAAGAGATCACACTTTTATAGTGATTGGGTTCAGTCATTGCTATCCAAATATTGTATCAAAATTGCATGAAAGTGAAAAGGGTGTCTCTCAACGTAAGGATTACAGCTGCTTGACTGCTTCAAATAGGCTAGGGAAGAAAGCAAGGAGGATTCATGATGTTTAAAGAGACAATAAAACCCACCCCAGATCCTTCAGCAAATGTCGACAGTGATTGATAAAGATCAAAATAAACAGCTTTCAGCATGCACTCTTCCACTTGCTTGCCAACCTCTTTATTGAACTGTAAAAATTTAAACCACTTAGATCAATGACCACATTTCTCATTAGGCCTTTGTATAGTCAATGCGCTACTTTAGGTTCTCACCCTTAAAATATATAGGTATGTCAGGTGATGCAGCAAACTAAGAAAAAATTAGGGAAACTAACATAAAACAAAAAGACCACGCAGTGGCCAATTGAGATGAAAATATAGAATATATAGAAACCGAGCAGAAGCGATACCATTTCTTCAGTTATATCCTCGGGTGTTGTTCCAGGGTTAGCAACTACACTCTGAACCATAAATTTGTCCCTGCACTTCATGTCTGTGGGAGCTTCCCTAAGTGCCATTATAACTTCAAGAAAAGAACAAAATTTTCCAAATTCAGTGTCTGTTTCATTAACCCAGGGAGACGGTTATAACAGTCGACGGAAACCCACACTCATGCTAGTTATTCACTGTAATTCAACTAGCCAAGATCAGATTTTCAAATGACGTGCAAACTGCAGGGCCTTACAACTTTTTACACTACCAAATACCATGGGTTCAAAGGAACATAATGTAAGAATATGTTGGGTCACATGATCTCAACAGATGAAATGTGGCAAACAAATAAACACAACAACATCAAAGAACCGGAGGGGTACCTATTACTTGACATGTTGATCTCGGCAAAACAACTGCAGCTTTTGGTCGAGCAATATATCTCTTCGGATTGGTAGTTTTAATCTATACACACAATTGAGAGATTTCAATTTGCACAAGAGGGGAACATAATGTAAGAAAAGCATTAAGACTTTACCTTAAAAGCCACATGATAATCCGTTTTGTTCGACAATTGGAGCGAACAAGAGACCTGCTTCAGCAGCTCAACTGAAACTCCACCAAAATAATTAGTAGTATTATTTACACTTCCAACCTAAAAGGGAAAAAAAAAAAAAAAAATTGGTTAAAAAGCAGGTAAAAGAATATTTTGGGGAGTGAATTACGAGGAAATTGGAGCTCCAAAGGTTCAATATTGAGAAGTTCTCCGGCACTCATTCCTTCTTTGCTTACCCTTGTTTCCCTAATCTATCTCCAAAGGACCAAAAGGATAAAGAAAAACAGAGAGTAAAATGCAGTCGATCAATTTGAATGAAAAAAATGGGGAACCAAATGTTTTCTACCGTAGTGGTTCTGTTAAAATATTTGTGTCCAATTTGGTGGGCTGTATTTAAAGTAGATCCTACCTCAACTATTTTTTAACATTTTTCCTCAAACCGAGTCGGACTGCTGAGTTTGCTTTGATTTTGTTGATGGATTGTATTTCAGTCTTTGGTATTCAATGTATTCATGATGTAGTTTTCAATTCATCTCCTATTAATTTTTTATTGTTCTTCAAATTTTCAATTTTTTTCTTCTGTACTCCACTAAAAAAAAAAAACATGTTATAAAACTAGGGTCTAAATACAGTGATCCAAAGCAAAAGTACTTATTATTTAATTAGATATGATAATTATAACTTCTCTATTAGAAACTTTACTATGATAAAAAAGATGTATACTCGAGTTTATGAAGTAAAAAGGATGCACTGAAATGGATATGATATACTCCCTCCGTCCCATAATTATTGTCCAGTTTTACTAAAATGAAAGATTTTATTTTTTGTCAAACTTAATTATATTTTACCTTAAACAATCGGATATATCCCTACATAAGTAATTGTTTAACCACTAAGATTTTATGGATAATATTTTTTACTTAGGACAAATGTGTAACTTGATCCATAAAAAGTCAAATTGGACAATAATTTTAGGACAAAGTCAAATTGGACAATAATTTTAGGACAAAGTTTTTTGGGCAAAATGGACAATAATTATGGGACGGAGGGAGTACAATCTATGACAATAGATGGTGTAAAATATTTGAAAATCATTAAATATGAGTCTGAAAAGATTCAAACACTTGAAAGGTTACCGCTCTCTAATGGTTTGCATTATACAAATCAAACATGACAATAAAATCAAAATCCTTCAATCATTCAATGTTAAATTTATGACACGAAAGACTGGGCCATCTAGGTTCAATAATATTCAACGTTTGCATCTTTTTTACTTCATAAGCTTGAGTATATATAGGGAAACTTTGGCAGACAATTTGCTTCATTTTCCTCTCTGTACAATTAATGTACCCAATTTATGGACCTTTTGGTCATTCATTTATTTACAACAAAACCTAACCTTATTTGAGACTCCATTACTGATGTACACAATCAAGTTGAACCTCTGAAGTCATCCATGGGACCATGACATTGACAACAATATTTCCATTTTACATAGTAAGTCAGTGAAGACTGAACACATTATTAGCATCCCCAACTGGTCGGCCTAACTCTCCCAGGAGGCCAAGGACTTTATTTACTTTATTATGGGCTTATTTATTCTATGATTTTTGTCAGAATGTTCTGCACAAATACTACACATATTTTCCAGAATTAGTATTACTGTTTGTTCTCCTACTTTCAAATTTTTATTTTTGGTTCAAAGTCTTCACAAATTTATGAGGATTCGGTACTTTTTGAGGAACCATCCATTTTCAACCGGTACCCATTCTTTTTTCATCTATTGCAAATTGAAGACCGCTGCTGAATATCGGAATCAACTCCGGTAAATCGGTGTTGGATGACTCCGACGACATCATGATCATCGGTTGAATAACCGGAAAAGATTTGGCAAAATTAAAGAACCAAATCGGCAAAAATTTGTGAGGAGGGACAACCGGATATGGAAATTTGAAAGTTAGTGACAGTACGTAAAAGGTCTCATTGTGGATATGTCTCCCAAATATTGACACCTAAAAAACGAAACAAACGTATCCTTATTTTCGTCAATCACGGTTAAGGCAACGAGACCTTTTACTTTAATTTTGTCAATATTTGGGTGGCATTCAACAAATTATTTGTAGATGAGAGCAGCAACCAAATTCCTCTCCCTCCCTGCACCAGCTTCCAAACCCGAGTCTACAAGTAGAAATGGAAGAAAAAGGTCCTGCACAGAATACATAGTTGCAAAATTTGGATAACCCCATAAACAAGGTATTTCTTGTCCCTATAAATCTCGGTCGTTTCTTTTCCCTTTTAAACTGTTGTTGTTATCATCTCACTTTGTCCGAGTTTTAATATCTGATTGAAGGATTAAACTTGTAAATTTCATCATTTTGTTGGGTAGATGCTTAAAATGAAATCATTATTAAGAATGTTAAAGCTGTTTTCACGCACAACTTAATTAATTTTACTCCGGCTTAGTTCAGAGTGATGATCCAGTACGAATGACTAAAAACTATAGAAGCAGTAGAATTTTAACAATGTAAAATTGTATTCCTGTTTTCAAGGAATGATTCTCTGTTTCATGATTATGAGACATTTTAAGGTCTAGATTTTGGATTATCAAACACGTCTTTGGAGAAGTGTATAATGAGACTCAAAATTATGAGTGCATCTTAAGAGGTTATTTTATGATGAGTTTAGACAGATTATAGAATCTATAGGCCGCTTGATCAGTTTGGAAGACATCGTGGTCTAAGTTTATTTAGAGGTTAACTTTCAATGGAAGGGTTGTATTTGACCACAGTTCCAGTATCGGTTATCCATATGCCTAACTTAGACAAAGCTAGTGTGAACCAAAAACAAGGATGAATCCTGTTCTCCGCCAAGTCTCCCATTTGTTGCGAAACTGATCCTGTCTGATTCGGTGTTCTTACTTTGCCTTTGACAAAGCCCTTTCGACTTCGAGCCTCCAAGTTCCTGTTGTATCACAATTTACATAATTTCCTTCCGATCAATCCTTCCACCATCTCCATGGCTTTGATACTGGTTTCTGCTTTATGTCCTTCCCAGTTGTACCCTGCTGCATTTGCACCTATTCCACATCGTTCACGGTTAACATCACTCTTGTTTGTGCTATTATCTTTGCAGTCATGCCATTTCTGTCAGTTCGATTCTTCACTAGTATTCCTTATTCTTCTACGTTAAAAACCCTTAAGCAGCCTCTAGTAACTGAAGCTATAGCATCCTGTTTAGTATTTGACAGCTTACTGCATCAAAGGTGCCGTTCAACCACATCCAAAACTGCATCAGCTTATTCAGGGAATAATTATCACTCCACAGTTTCCCTGATCCACAGTTACTGTCAGTTAAAGAAGACAAATAGCATAAATCATCCATAGTTCCTCAAGTTTGGTGTAATATTTCTCACAATATATGGGAAAATTTCCTTTAGAGATTGATGCAATAATCTCTTTACGAAACTGATGGATAGATCATACAGAAGCCATATTTTCCCTTCAAATGATGCTAAACCTCCCTTATATTTAGATTTTTCCTTCACTTTGCATTGAATAAAAAAATAATGATTAAAACAGGCTAAAGTGTTAATATGAGGAAGCTTGTTTAATCATCCATACCAGACATTTCTTTAGTGTACTCGCCTCTATTTTTCCTCCCAATCATTGTAATACTAGAATACAAGTCAAGTACGTTCTCTCACTTAATACTTCCAAATTGAGTTGTGCCAGATGGATTACATGTTGGAAGATTTTGCTCATGCAATTGAGCGGGTAGAATCTTCAATACCCCGACTAAACGATTACTGGAGTTTGGATGGTGTTACATTGGAGAGGTTGGAATCTGTAACAGTGGAGCTGAACTTTCTGTACCTTTTTGTTGGTTACTCTTACAAATGGAGTGATGCATCCTCTTCTGCATTATGCCATAGTGAAACCGAGATGAATTCCCTGTACATCAAATTCGAAGAATTAATTAGTCATCTTCGGCATGCTTTCATTGACAGATTCACACATCCATATCATAAATTTAATACAAATCTTTCCGAGTTGCTTGCTTTCTACACTTCTTTCAATCAAAACATTGACCATTTGAAGTCAGCGATCCAGACAGCTTACCAAGGTGGATCCTCAGTGTCAACCCAATCAATCCACCCTTGCCCTCCTTCTACAACAACTTATGACTGGAAGTTCTTTTGTGATTCCCTACGATGGAATATCAAATATTTGTCTAACTATGGAGTTTATTCTTTGAGGACGCAAATGAAAGCCCTGCACGGAAGTCTGTGTTCTCTCGACAATCTTTCTGTGTTTGTAAGTCTTCATGATGATTGGTCACCTTGGATGGACAAAATGATGGATTACATTAGAGGAACAATTGTGCAGGTTGCTCATTTGTGTTGCTTCTGTTGGTATTCAGCACCACTGATTCTAGAAATAAAACCACATGTGGAGAATAGCCTCTCAGATCTGCTGTCAAAATCCGATACAGGTTCTTCCGAGTTTGTAGGCATTGCTCTGGGATTCCTACGACCCTATGATGAAGAACAATCTGAAAAATCTGTTTGCCATTTTCTTTATGATATGCTTGGTTTAGAAGACCAAGAAGGATTTCTTTTTCAAGCAATCAAATTCATACTATTCAATTTCATCCAACTGACAGAGGATATGGATGACTTCAGTGGCATATCCCTTTCAGATAGGACGAAATTCGTGGTCTTGCTCACCATCAGTTTAAAAGGTCAATCCAGGAGACATAAAACTTACTTTGCATTGTTGTTGGCACATATTTGGAGTATGATAGCCATCGAAATTCAAAGTAGCAAGTTGGATGAACATGTCAAAGCTTTCCATGAGGGGTATAGACTTCTAGAAGATATGTTTTCATCAATGGATGAAAAGTCAAAAGAATATCAGACCTGGAAGGTTATTGAAAGAGTTCCTAAGAAGGTGCAGTCTCTATATCAGTATTATCGAAGTGAGGAGGCTCAATTGGTGTATCACATGTTTGCCAATTTATACTTACACTTTACTGCACAAATGAGCATTATAAACCTGATGGAGGTGATCTCAGAGTTGATGCAGGAGGATTCAAGTCTGATGCAAAAGTATGGAACTTTTTTCAGAGAACTATTTTTCTTGAAGGATGCAGTAATTATTATGACAGTGGAGGAAATTATGGAGGGAGATAGTCAGCTATTCAAAGACTTCGTTAATGTATTTCTAGATTTAATTATCAGAAAGAGAGGAGTCAATTACATGAACGTGCCGCATCTGTTACAAAAAGTTCTGCAACTAAAGGAAAAGTTCAATCTTCAACTTCCAACAATTACTCTTCCAAAGACTCCTGGATTATGTTTCATCGAGTTTCTTGTTCCAAATCTAAGAGAACTGCTTAGCCGTAACCATGATCTAGTGCCATCAGCTGTCCAGCTAATTGAGGCCATCTGCAGTGATTTAGAGTTCATAATATCTGCATTTGGGTATGTTCTCAAGCATGAGTTTGAGCAACAAGATTCCAAAGATCTTCATACACAGCTTACTAATGCAGGATATTTGGCAGAATACATGATCGACTTGATGGCGCTTGGTGATGATACTAAGACTCAGCACTTAATGGGGCTTCATCATGCTGCAGCAGAGATCAGGAACATCAAGTGGCAGCTCAATGACTCATACAAGGGGCACACTTGTGGTGGTGGCGCTCCAATTATTCCTCAGAAGGTGATGCTTCACACGTCACAGGTTACCACTACCACTGTCGAGATACCTATGATTGGCTTCACTGATGAGAAGAAAGATATAATTGATCTGCTTACCGGAGATAAACAAAAGCGAGATATTGTCTCAATCGTGGGAATGCCAGGCATTGGTAAGACCACTTTGGCTCATAATGTGTTCTGCAATGCAACTGTTATTTATCACTTCAGTATTCGTGCTTGGTGTTGTGTGTCGCAAACATATAGGCGGAGAGATTTATTGCTTGATATTCTAAGCCACATTATACCTATCACCGAAGATACTCATAAGAGTAGTGATAACGATTTGAAAGATCTCTTGCGTAGACAATTGAAGGGGAAAAAGTACTTGATCGTGATGGATGATATGTGGAAAATTGAGGCTTGGGATGATCTGCAAATCTCATTTCCAGATGACTCACAAGGTAGTAGAATCTTGATAACAAGTCGTGCCATGGATGAGGTTTCAAAAATCAGCACCAAAACTCAAATTCTTCTTCCACTCTCTGAAGAGGAAAGTTGGCAGTTGCTAAAGTCAAAGATATTCCCAAAAGAAGAGTGTCCTGAAGAACTTTTGACAGTGGGACAAGAGATTGCCCGAAATTGCAAAGGATTGCCTCTTGCAATTGTTGCAATAGCTGGCATTCTGAATAGGTGTGGGAAGAACCCAGACTTGTGGAAACAAAATGCTAAACGTGTACGCTCACTTGTACTCAATGATCCAGGAATGAACTGCAAGGAAATCTTAGAACTGAGCTTCAATCAGTTACCAGATCACCTCAGAGCTTGCTTTCTGTATTTTGGTGCATTTCAAGAGGATAAGGATATTTCAGTTTGGAGATTACAATTGTTGTGGATTGCGGAAGGCTTTGTACCGAAAATGGAGTCCAAAAGTGTTGAGCATCTTGCCGAGGATTGCCTGATGGATCTCATTGGAAGAAGCCTCGTAATAGTGTCCAAAAGAAAGTCAAACGGTAAGGTAAAAGCATGCCGGGTTCATGACATGGTACGTGATTTGTGCAGGTTGAAAGCTAAAGATGAAAACTTTTGGCAGTTTGTATCTGGTACTGATGAACCTTACTCTGAATTTGATGCATCAAACAGTGATATTCCGCTTGAGTTTTTAAATATTTCAAATAAAACGTACAAGGAGTATCGACTATGTTTCAGCATGAAGCGTAAACACTTTGTTGCATCAAAGCCTTCTGGGCCATTTGTCCGATCTTTACTGTTTTTTGCCACCGCTGATATGCACCCAAGATGCCCCTATGATGTCTCATTCATTCCTAGCAATTATAAACGCCTAAGGGTGTTGGATTTGGAATCCATAAATATGGGTTATTCCTTGCCAAATGGAATAGAATTGATTCTTGATTTGAGGTATTTAGCAATTTCTGGTGATGTGGATTCTATTACTCCATCTCTGTCCGACCTAAAGAATTTGGAAACTTTACTTGTGAAGAGTTCAACAGATATGGTGTTGTTACCGGAAACCATATGGAGAATGACAAAGTTGAGGCATATTCATGTGACTAATTTCGCCACCTTCATTTTCCATCATGAGGAACATGGAAGTACCTCTGAGTTATATAACTTGGTGTCGCTATCCTTGCCATGTTTTACATGCAGGAAGGAAACCAGTGACATGATGATGCGGTTTCCCAACCTTCAAAAGTTAAGATGCCTAGTTCTAGAACCACGAGATTTTTCGGAGGGTACTTTTCAGTTTCCTGCATTTGGATCACTCTGCCAGCTGGATTCGCTCAAGGTATCTTATTATGGCAAGGTTCTTAACGTTGGTGAACTTAACTTCCCCTCAAGTATAAAGAAGTTGACACTATCAAATTTCCGTCTGCCCTGGAGTCACATCTCAGTGATTGGGAGATTGCATAACTTGGAGGTCCTCAAATTGATTTCTAGAGCATTTGAAGGGTCGAGATGGGACATGGAAGAAGAGGAGTTCTCGAAGCTAAAATACTTGAAATTAGACACCCTGAATTTTGAATGTTGGAATGCTTACAGCGACAATTTCCCCCAGCTTCAGCAACTTGTAGTGCGACATTGCATGGAGCTTGAAGAGATACCTATTGACTTTGCGAGTATCTCAACATTGCAGGCAATTGAAGTTCAACAATGTGGAATTTCAGTTGAAGAGTCGGTCGGAAGAATCAAAGAACAAGATATTGAGGGCCTCATGATTGTTATCAACAGTTCCCATTCCACTTCTTAAGGACCATCATTTTAACGTGGATATCTGGTTGTTTGTAAGTAAGTATTCTCATAGCTTTGCTTATTTATGTTTCCCTCAGCTTCAGGTGTCACATCCTTGTAGTGGTAGGACTAAGCTTTGTAGTAGTATTTAATTCAACTGTCGTTGTCTTTCACTAATCTGAAGAAATAGGAATCATGAAGAAAAAATAGAACCTTTATCCTTTTGTTCTTGTATCGCATCTTAATTAGTAATAAACCACTTTATTTTGGTAGACGAACTTGAAGCTTATGGATGAGAGTTCTGCCTGGTTAAAGTTCATTAGGTTTCCTTGGCTTTGTTTTTTGATATGATAGAAGTTTGGTTAACCAGTATGACTTTGAAGTGGTGAAACTGGGAGCTATTTCAGTGGCTAAAAACTTGCACTGAGTTATTTTTTTCCTTTCTCATCACCAATTTGAGTTCTTGGAATATATATGGTTATATATTTATGGAGCGCTAAGAAACAAATGTGTAACCAGGAGTGTGCATGGTTCAGACACATGCAGGAAAGTTTTACTTCAGAAGAATAACCACAAAAGCGCGCAAGTTTCACTTTGTTAACTTCTGCTCCAGTTCAACCCAACCACCATTGTTCTTCTTCATAGCAGAAGAAGCCACAAAAATAACATCTAATAGATGGAACTTGTCGCTCTTATATATATATATATATATATATATATATATATATATATATATATATATCTAATCAATAAGTTTAAATTTACACGCAACAAGAACATCAACATTGTCAACCAATGCAGCGCATAAGAAATATGAGAAATAACAGTGTAATAGTACAACAAAGAATCATGATCCGTGTCTGTTTATATTTACTTATAGGCCATCAAGTCGAAGATTCGCTTAGCTTTCTTCTCTTCCAATAGCCATCCATGCTCTACCTGAGATCAAAATTTTAGTGATGTGACTAATTCTCACTTTTTTCATTCAGCTTCTGCAGCTGAGCTATAAATTCTTTGCTCATATCATCCAAATATAGATGTTCGAGCTTGGACAAGTGTTGAACGCCCCAAGGAAATTCCTCCAGTGACTCAAGGGACTTGATCTGCAGAATCCCAAGGTTAGGCATTGCTCCCTCCTCCACTATCAACAGTTTCAAACCATGTAATTTGCAAAGTGTCAAACTCTCCAGCTTCAAAAGCATCCTGCTTCGAAGCACAGATTCTCCCCTTCAAACGCCTCATACATGTCAATATCACGCAAATTTGGCAAATTTTGAAGAGACTTAAGGGGATCATCCCTTAACTTGCTCCACTTGAATGCTATTGAGGTCAATCCTTGTAACGAAGACATAAATTTGGGTAGCCTTTGCAAGCATCCCCTCAAACCTAACCTTTGAAGATTTTGGAGAGTTGAAATGTCCATATCTTCCAAATCAATCACCATGTCATCCTCTATCGCCTGAAGATATAACCGCTGAAGATTGGAAAGCTTTTCCAGAGAAGAACACAGTTGTCTTCCGTGTTCTGTTCTTAAGTTGGTAATGCCAAGCCTTTTCAATTGCTTTAGCTCTCCTATCTCTTTCATTAATGTTTCAGTTGCTTCTATGCATGATAAGCACTCTAGATGATAAAGCCTTGAAGTTTGATTTGGACATTTAGAACCCTTGTAAGAAAAATCTGAAAACAGACGAGAATAAAAAAACAGTAGATGAGCGAGTCCTTCCATCTTCAGTATTTCTTCAGGTAACTCCCGGACAAAAGTGTATGATAGATCCAAATACTCTACATTCTTCAAAGAACCAATGGACTTTGGAATAACTTCTACTCTTGTGCGTCTGAGACTCAGAGTTTTCAGATGATATAACCTGAAAACTGCTTCTGGAATTTGCTCCAACTGTGTGCCTTCGAAATCTAATACATTCAGTAGTTTAGAAGCACTATGTAACAGCTCGAACAGTATGGATTTTGTCAATGGTTCCTCAGAGTTGGAAGACTACCACAGATCGCATATACTTCAATCGAGTTCTATCTACCATGTCATATCTGCAATCATGTATTGCTAGGCGTCTAACCTTCTTAGGCCAACTCATTCGTTCTCTCGTCGCTATTGTTGCAAAATTTTGTCTGCTTGACTTGAAAAAAAGAATTTCTCTTAGAAGGTCATGAATATGAAAAACTCTTAGACTTGGATCTAAAGCTTGATATCTGACTTGAAATAGGCTTCTACTGGTAAGTTCACCAAGATAGGTGCGAGCAACTTCATATTTAGTCAATCCTGTCTTCTCCTCAACCAATCCTTCTGCAATCCATAATCTGATTAGCTTCACCTCTCTTATCTGGTACCCCGCTGGAAAAATACTTGCATATAATAAGCAAGCCTTCAGATGAAATGGGAGCTCATTGTAACTGAGGTTAAGCGTTTCTCTTAAAACTCCCAACTTACCGCGTAACTCCAATTCACTACCCAGACTACGTTCAACCATATTCCATTCATCTATTCTGCTTTTGTCTTTCAAAGACAACAATCCACTACCAACTGTGACAATTGCAAGTGGCAGCCCCTCACAGCTTTCCAGTATCCTTTTAGCAATATCTTTAAGATGAGCAGGGAATCTCCTTTGAAGGTCTTCTTGCAGAACAGAAGCCAAGAGTCATCAGGACATAAAGGCTGCATTTGGTGGAGATAGCTATTAAATTCAACACTGGAGGCAAGAGCTGCATCTTCTATACGGGTAGTGAGCATCACACGATTGCCACAACCACCCTCAGGCATCACTAACTTAATAACATTCCAAAAATTTGGATGCCAGACATCATCGAACACAATCAGATACTTTTTTTCTTGGAGGAATTCTTTGACGAGCATCTTCAAAAGCTCAGTAGGTATCGTAGAGGCCACCTGTTCAGGAACAGGTTTTTGAATGTTTTGATACAGTTGCTGAATCAAGTCCTTGAGCAGCTCCGTCATATCAAAGGATTGGGAGACAGTAACCCAAGCTATGATCTCGAACTGTCTTTTCACATCCGGATCTTCCTGGACTTTTCTAACCAGGGTAGTTTTGCCTATTCCTCCCATGCCCAAAACTGAAACAACTTTCATGTTGCGATCACCATCTAGGACTTCAGACAGTAGTTGTTGCTTTGGGAGATTAATGCCCACCAGCTTTGTTTCTGCTACAAGAAAGGCTTCATCCTTATAATTATTCCATGAGTTGCTGACAGACCCATCAAAACCTAAAGCTTGGACAGAGTTGCCATTTTCAAATAGATACCTATTTCGACACTTGTGATCCTGAATTTCTGACAAAAATCCATGCCGATCAATGCGACCAAAATACATCATAAATTCATCCACAACATCTTGAATGTCATAAGCAACATCCTGCACTTGAAATATCCATTCTTGAAGCCTAGGATCTTCTTCTTCTCTACCTTCTGCAAACATCAAGAAGGCTTTCATCTGGCCAAGCTCATCAACAATACCCTGAATTTCTTCTCCAAGGCCTCCTAACAATTTAGCCTCATTTACAAGCAAAGCCGAAAGCTGATTTAACACGCAAGAAACAACACCCAAGCTCATCCTTGAGAAAGATTCTTTTCTCCCGGGCAAAGAGTTTCCTTGAGAGAAACTATTTTTCCCGGACACAGAGGTTGTTTGTGTTGAAGTTTGCGCTATTCAATCGCAGGATGCTTGAAGATTAAGGGTGATGATGACAAAACTGAACTTCCCTAACTCCTATGTTAAGTGAACATCATTTAGTTAAAAAAAAAAAAGAAAAAATCTACAGTATTACTGAATCAACACAAACAATAAGACTACTAGTCAAGTTTTGGCTGATAATCAACTCTTCCTGATCAAACTTAAGTTGAGAGCTATTTACCATTGAGCAAAACTACAAAAAAAAATTCTGCCATCTATTCTTTATAAGTGAAAACCATCTTGAAGGTGAGATAATTGCACAACTAAACGATAGAAGTCATTTCTCACCGATAAAGGATTCAAACCATAAAAGACAGCCCAAAAAGCATGTAAAATGATACTCAGGTGAAAATCAGCAATGTACCCAACTGGACCAATTTCAAATTTTTGAGGAACTAATCAAAAGGATTCCTTCTTTTTTTTTTTCATCTCTTCCAGCTGGGATCAAATCTGAAAACGAAAAGCAAAGAAAACAAACCCATTAATCAACGACCTTATCAGATATGATGCCCAATTGAAGGTGAACTCACTCTTCTTTGTACTTTCCTCAGACGGATTCTTTACGAATTTGCATAAAAATGAGCTTCAATTAGCAATAGAAAAGAAAAATCTTCACAAAAAAAAAAAAGGTAATAGATTAAACAGGCCCAATTAAATCAATCATATCCAGATAAATGGTTGACTTACCACAAACTTTTTCTTTATTTCTTGCTTTCACAAAGGAAGAATGATTGATACTCAGTGGCCAGTACATAACACACACCCTCATGGCCTGACCCACACCACAATTAATCATGTCTTGGATATCTCTCCATTTGACTAAGCCTCTTATATGATTAATAAATTTCATTGTTCAGAGACATAGCTGATCACGAAACCAAAGTATTCAACATAGAGACTTGGATTTTTTTTTTTTTTGTAGTAGAACTATTTTGAAGAGGGCTACCCATACTATAAGCCACCCTAGCTTTCATCATATTTCCGGGGAAATTTCTTTCCCAGTTCCCACCACAGAATGCTGCCTTAGGGAAAAGAAGCAGTATTTGTCTTCGTTGAGTAGTAGCATGCTTCAAGATTCAGAGAAGCAATGATGAGAGAATGGAATCATTTTTCTGTGTCTTCTTCAGTAATTATAAGGAAATCAATACTTGTGAGTTGTGACCATCTTTTCATTTCATATACCCTTCTCTTTCTACGGGATTTACAGAGACATTTAGAGACACATTCGATCAGAGTTAAAAAGGATTAGTTTACCTATAAGTAGAGCTCAATTAAACCTTAACATCCGCATCCAACGATGATTGAAAATTTGTTCCGAACCCTCTCGAGAAAATTGAGAGCATATACAATAGGTAGACATGGTTATACAAGATCCTATGCGACATCACATATTGTACTATGGCATATAAAACGCGTGAAACATAAACATTTGTACTGGAAAAAAAAAAAAAAGAAGCAAAAATCGTCTAGTGATATAATAAGAACTATAAGCATCTAATGCAAGTTCTACGATTAAAAAAACAAACATACAAACTTTTGAATTGGGAAGAAAAATAAATGTGAGGATATATATAGTAGTCTCAAATAAATAAGCTAAAACAAGGGCAAAAAGAACCAAAAAAAAAATTATTATTATTATTAAAAAGAAAAAAGAGCTCTTCCCCAAAGAAAGGAGGAAATATAAAACTAAAAACACTAAGAACTAGGTATCTTATTCACTTGTTCCCAAATTGAGGCTTGACGTGGGTACTCAGCATTGCCATTCCAAACTATGCGCCAAAAGTGAGGGTTGCACAGGCAGGTGCGGTTGTACCGGGTACGCCTGCTGAGGAAAACCCGGATGAGGGAAATCATGTGGATTGGATCCGAAAGGAGGAAGAAGAGTACTAACAAGCGGACCACCAGTAAACTTGCTCACAATTTCATTATGAACATCTCTTACTAGCTTCCCCAAGTTCTTGAACATTGAACCATAGTTATTCTTATCATTATTGTTGTAATTAGGGTTTCCTCCATTATTCGCCTCCGGCGGCACGTGATCCGCGACCTTGATGTCCAAACGGGCGATCACATCAGGTTTTAGGTTCACTCCTTTCCTTAGGGCATCGATGTGCAACATACCATCCAAGGCCAGACACTTCACCACGATTTTCTCGAGGCTGATAAGGTTGTTGGAGTTGGCGTACACCTCGGACTTGGAATACACAAAGGCGTAATTCGCGTCGAGTTGATTCCATTGGTCAATTCCGACCTCCTTGTACACTCCGGAGGGGGGATTGGTTTCGCTGTGAGAAAAGGCGGCCGGACCGGTGGCGCGGAGGACAAAGCCGGAGGCGAAGAGGGTTGCGTGGACGGCGAAAGCAACCTTGTCGTTGGCGTTCCGAAAGGATGGCCTCGCAGCCCTTATTACTGCCATGACTGATCGCTCTGTTGCAGGTTCTGCCATCATGGACACCATCGTTTTTCTTTCTTCCTTGATGCTGCTTTTGCTCTTGTTTATCTTAAGCGGAAGATAGGTATACAGCTAGGGTTTTTCTAATGGCTCTCTCCAAACACAATTAATCACAGTTCGCACACATAACTTATACATACAGGCGTGCCCTAAACGTAACAAAATTCTAAAACCAATTACGTTGGTCCATATATGAGACATTTGAATTTGTGAGCCGGTCTCATTTGGATTTTTGGGCTTTAGTCTCTCCGACTTATTTGCTCGCTTCCTTGGGCTTTTTTTTTTTTTTTAAAAAAAGATATATATATATATATATAAATATGATGATGAAGCTGAACTACAATGGTAAATCACATCATTTGGAAAATCAAACTATAAAATCCAGAAGTCAAACATTTAACACGAAGACAAACAGCATAGGGAACAGTAGTTCACACTAATCTCTTAGATTATTCAAATGACCATGAGATAACATTCTTATCATACATCCTTTGGTGTCAATGCATTATGAACACAAAATCCGCGGCATATATTTGGCACTAATATATTTGGCCATATATGAGAACACAAAATCCTTATTTGTTATCCGCGGCATATATTTGGCACTAATATATGCTATGGAACTACTATGAATATATATATATATATATATATATACACAGTACATCTTGAGAGGAAGGAGGGGGTGGAGACCATGATTAAATAATTGCAACAGGGCCAAACTGGAAAACAATAACAGCATGAAAAGACCAAACAAAACGAGGCATAAAAGTGGTACTTTATAAAAGATTGATGATCATTAAATATGAATTAAGTGAAACTTTTACTACGTATAAGAAATAGCACATCAGTTAAAAAAAATTCACAAAATGTAATTAATCCCATGCATCAACAAAAAAGGAGACCCTTTTTGTAACAATCTCATCACCAAAAGCATCAATCTGAGAGCCTGATTTGTTTCTTCTCTTTCCGTGATCCAGATAAGCGGAGGTTCAACGGGAACTCAGCTTTCTCTTTCTTTTCATCCTTCGCCAGCCCATTGCCAGCTGAGTTTCCCTCTTTATCTTGTTCAAGGCATCCAATATGAGCCTTCATTCTTCATTATGATGGCCGCCTGTTCTGCAAGATGCTAAATGCCTTTATCATTGATGGTTGAGTATATAAGGTGATTAGGGCTTTGGAGGAGGCCATGGCTTTGCCATCCTATTATACATTGTTCTCTCTGCCATTCGTCCTTCCTTTTCAGTATTTCAAAAGATAAAGTCACTCAACTGAATTGGCTTCAGATTTCGATCCTGGGAATGATTTCTTAGTATATAGGCGCTGTCTTCTACATTTGCACTTATGCAATTAACCCTGTGCCTGTGTGGTTTGTAAGCACGAGCTTATAGATGGAACGGACAACAAATGCATAAGTAATATCTGTTCATGAAGAGAATGAGCCCAAAACTTACCATTCAAAGTGATCGTCACAGCAAATGGAGCCCCAGATAATAGAGAGCCCTGCTGCTTTCCTGAAAGTGAGAGACAGAGAGAGACAGAGATTGGATATAAGCAGAAAGAAAAATGTTCGATGATTATATTACCAAGAAACATTTTGGAATACCACGCATGTATACAGATCAGGATAAGAGCATGGTTGTTAAGAGTTGCCATGCTCCCACAGGTAAGGGGGGCTCAAGTTGGTAAAGTTTGGGCTCGGGGAATGTAATACGAGTAAGAAGCAAAAAAAGAAGTCATCATCAAGGCAAAACTCAAAAGATGAAAGTTATTCTAGTATTTCCAACTCTTACCCATCACAAATCACATGTTTCAACATCGGAGTCCATTTCCCTACTTCTAAATTGTGAGTATTATACAGCAAAATATACAAAAATCATTACCATGTTGCAGTGTACATATCGTAGAATTTGTCGAAAGCTTTGTTGAAGCAATAGTGACAAGCTAAAAGATCCTTGATCTCAGTCACCTGGCATGTTGGCTTGCAGCATTTTACCTATACGGTTGAATAATCAAACACAAACAGTGGAAACAACAATTAGAGTTGCAAACATTATGAAAATTGTTGTTCATGAACAAAGCCACCATAATTTACAATGATAGGCAAAATGAACAGAAGAAAAATCAGAAATACATCATTTTAATCAACTAAATTAATGGCTAAGAGCTCATTAACAGGTGTTGTGAAGCAGCAAAAAAAAGATACACAATTTCCCGATAAAATTAAGCATTTACCAAACGCTTAAGCCTGAAGGAGTAAAATTCTTGATGACTGGGATGTGCTCTGATGTGCTCAATCAGATGACCTGCACTGAGAATTATAACCATCCAGTTTCACTGTCAGTTTTTCTTAAATTGCCAGCTCTTCAGTTTCAGATTCAAAAACTGGGTGGTAAGGAGTACAAATTATGATAATTCTTTGACAAATTCCATGACCAAAGCAATTACGTTTCAACAAAATTGTCTTTCTAACACTCCTTCAATTCGCTAGAATACTTTATAGACGATGTATTTATTGAAAGAAGAAAGACATGTAGCAATTTCATATTCTCATCCAATGTTTCAGACTTCAATTAAATAAATAAGCAAACTATTTTTGCTTGCAGAACCAAGGTTGACCCATACAAACCAGCACTAAATTAGTTAACCAAAAAAAAGGAGCACCAAATTTAACAATTTCTTCACATCAAGAAATATCTTAAATTCAAATTTCTATCCCCAAAATTCACAATATTTGAAAGCTTACACAGTCAAAGAAATAAAACCAGGAATGCAATACATAATCAAATTAACAACTGAAAAGAAGCAAAAATAATTCATATGAATAAAATACATGAATTGTAATACCTGTCACAGAATGCATTGGAACACTTTAGACATGAAGCCAATGTTGTTGATCCACGGCAAACACTGCATTTTGCAGTCAAAAAGGTTTTGCCAATTTGATGACACCTGTTGATTGTGAACACCAAAAGAAGAAGAAGAAGAAGGACTGGTAAGAAAGTTCCTTCTCCATACATATCTCCAATGCTTTGGTGCAAAGAAGATGGAAAGCGCAAGGGAGCAGAAATGAAGAGACAAATATATACAATTTAAATGAAATGTGAGGATGTGGACAAAATCAAACCTTTTGTACAACTCAAGAAGATTTCTTGACATGCGTAAGGGTTTCACTGGGAAATATGGTACCTGTAGAACAAATATTTTCCCCTTATGTTACAGGCTTATACGGGAGCTTACAAGCTCCAACTGCACTAATTTTTATGGTAATAAAGAGAGAATACCTCACTGCATGTGTTCCCCAATGACGAGGAGTGGCACTCAGATGTTGTCACTAAACAATCCTCAGCAAAATGACCTGGCCTTTGACACTTTAAGCTACAATAAATCAAAAGAGCAACGATGCAACCTAATCATTTTCTTTGAAGTACCTTCAGCATCCATCAGTTATCCAATGAACATACACCAGTTAAGTATTAAGTTGTGCTACATTTTTGAAAAACAAGATGTACCATTTGTAAGTAGAGAAACTAGGTAAGATATTTGACCAGCCATTATTCGCAAGGTTACAAGGATCCAGACTGTTATCAGGAACATTCAAACCACTTTCTTCACAGAGGGAAGCAGCAACATTTTTGCAGCTCGCATCACCCTGCTATTAGGCAAAATATAGTTAGAGAGTGCAAACCGCAGTATTGTATTGAAGTCATACAATGAAAAGAAACGCGAGTTGGGGACTAAAAGAAGAAGAACCTCATCTGATTGAATGTTTTTCAAAACCTCATCTTTACAGTCGATGCTACATATATCATCATCGGTCTGTAGGGAAAAAGAACACAAAATTACAAGATAAATAAAACTTGGTAGAAACACCACAACTGATATCAGAGTACATACCACAGCATCATACTAACCTCATCACAAATATATTCCCCATACTTTCCACATACTACACAAGTGGGCTCACCAGGTAGAGGCAGTCTTTGCTCACTTCTCCTCTTTATTCTATCTGCTTCAATTTGGTTACATAACAACATTTGGAAAAAGATCAGACAAAAAAGAAACACATAATGACATCAAAAGTTCCAAAGGACATTAAGCCGTAAAACTAGGTCCACCAGTGAAACCTAAAAAAGTTCAAATATAAATCTTTTACATCCCAAATACAATAGGTGAAACATAAAATCAATGATCTGGCACTACGCAATGAGAATTTAAAAACGATAGGGGCATCAAAAATTTGTTTTCATAGAGATAAACTCAAGACAACAAAATTTGTCTAGTGACACTTTTACTGTCAGCTTTGTATTGAACTCTTCAAAGATAGAAAAGTTAATGAAAAGAAATAGTGCAAGTGAATTATGTAGAAAATTCCCAATACTGTCTCACTTTTTCTAAATGAAGATTTTCACTACATACCATGCAAAGCAACTGATACAGTTTATAAGGAAATTGAGATTGACTACATGGATCATATGTTGTGGGGCCCACAGCATATGGATCAGAAAAATTCCACAATAAAACAACAAAGCCTTCATCACACTGTGGGGTCAGCGCAGCATCTGGTCTTACCTAAACATAGATTCTATGCCTGGACCAAACAGGTATAATCATACTGTCCTAATGAAATTTCTGTGAAGCTATATCAATGAGCAGGGACAATACCGTTGAGAATTTATTTGCCTTACAGAAGTATAAGTGCCAAGAATTTTATGTACCTTGGTACATAGCAAAAGAGTTAACTAGGCAGCTATTTTTAAGACATTTAACAACATACCTGATATCGGAGGACTCTTTTTATTCATAGGTAACTCAAATGGCACAACAGGATTGCTATTCGAATCTTGCTTCTTTTGAGTTTCACCGGAAGAATCAGTATCACTATCACCTGCATTCAGGTTGCACAACAATTCAATCATGAAAACCATAAAACTTGACAAAAGCTAAGATTTTGGCAAGGGAAAACAACAACTATAGCAATAACCCTTTGTTTCACAATATCAAGTCTGCTACATGAGCAATATTCCTCAATTGCGTTCTATCAAAACACAATAATTTTGTTTATGTTTCAATCATGCAACAGGTAACAGGCCTATTCTCGATTTGCATTTTGATCCAACGTCTCATATACTCCACGACAATAAGCAGATCAGACAGCAAAACTAACTCACAATCAGTCAGTTCATGCAAAGTGTGTCAAAACCTTGTAATATTTACATCAAAGCCAAAAGGAAAAATAGAAACTTAATTTGAAACTTACTGTCATAGTCTGCTACAAGTTGCAAAGCCAAGGTTGAAGTAGAAGTTCCCTGCATCATTGAAACCCACGAGAAAAGATAAGGTTCCCAATTGACTATCGAATTTAACAACAGGTTTGCAGCGAAAAATATCAAACGTTATTGAAGTTTCCAGTACCAGAACATCTTCAGTTAATTCTTGGTACGGCCGATCGCTGCTGAACTCCTCCCTGTCCATTGTATCATCAATTGTCAGTATCACTAATAGCAGATAGTCTTCTCCCCTTTTTATTCTTCTTTTTTTGGAAGAAAGATATGATATAATAGCTACAAAATATATTTAATCCAAGCAATAAGATTCAAACGCCATTTACCTCATTTTATCAATATACTCCTGATGAGACATAGGGCCACCGTTTTCTTCAACCTCATTCTTCTGCGGTGCCGCCGGCTTCCACACACGGCGGCGCTTGCGGTGCCGCCTAATTTCATCGTCGGGGTGTTGTACTGCCGGCTCATCAGCCCGAGGAGCATTTCCTATTGCGATATTATAAGCTGAAAAAGAAAATGAAAAAGGGAAATTTATATAACTAAGTGCTCTCAGTTATGCAAGTCATAGCCTTAGGAAATCGGAGACATGAATATATTGAAGTCGGATGGGTTACTTTGGAGATTTTGAAGGACGGAATTGAGATGGAGCTGCTTATTGTAAGAATGGGAAGGATTCTTGTAAAAATTGGTTCGGTTCGCCATTTGGCGGTTGTCGTATGAGTAGTGGCGGAGCACCGGGAACGGAAGCGCCGATGGATGACAGTAACGCCGGTTTCTTTCTAATAGGCGGGAGTAATTGCTCTGAAAGGCTCGGGCCATCAGCTTTTCTTATATGATTAAAATCGAGCAAAAATTAAAGGATGGGAGAATAAAATGCCAAGTTTGTCTTTTGACATTCCAACCATTGCATTGTTGGTATTCATTAACAACAAGTTTGAGCTATTAACCGTCCCTTTCTCTCTCAAGATATATATTTACCTATTTATTTGGAAGTTGGAACTGAAGTACTCGAAAATCCTGGCCTTCATATTGCATGTGTTAGACATGCAGAAAACCACTTGTTTTGAATGATCAGAAAATTCAAGCTACAGACATTAGCATTGCTCTACCAATTTTATGTAGATGATGGTCACTAAAATAGTACAACATAGTTGTTTGGTATATGAGTGAAAAGCATAAATATTTCATCTCTCGCCCTGGTTTCCTCTACATAGCCATCATCCACTCACTACAAGAAATTCCTTTGAAATGATCCAGATGAGAATCTCGAAGACAAACCCTGTGCCATATTTTCAGCATCTAATTTTACACTTAGCCTTCCAGCAGTCAAATCTTTTTCTCTATCCCATGGTTTCCAGGGATGGTTCCCTTCCCATTCCTCCTTAACCGGTTCCTGCTTAGATTTCTTCTTTGCGCGACTATGTATAGACTCCTTGTGCTTTTCTACCAGTGACTTTGATCGTTTTGACTTGTTATACTCGTCCACCAATTGTGCATCTGCATTAGCCCTTTGTTTTTTCTCTAGTTCATTAGAAGCAAGTGCAGCAGCCTCATTGTAGGCTTCCAAGTAACTGCGATTCATAAGCATAGCTTGTTAGGTTAGAGACTAATCCAACGCTAAGGGCATTATCAACATCAGGGAGCATACATACTTCATTTTTGCCTTTTGTGCTCTGTCTGATGGAGTATCAGTCCAAACACTCGTGTCACCACGTCCCTCTTTCGACCTTTGGCTGAACTTTGTTGATTGCATCGTCATTCCAGGCTGGTAAGAACAGAATATGATGGAAAAAAGTAATGTAAGTTTAAAAATGAGCAAAAACATGGGGGCTGCACAAAACATCATTCTCAATCATCCAACTTCACAATTTAAAGGATTTTCTTATATTGCGTGCTTAACATATGCCCTTCAATGTTTAGCCTTCAGCTACTATTTATTGATTGGGATTTTTCAGTTCTAAACACAATCCAGGTAAGAATAATGCAATTTCCTCCAAATGGATAATGTTTTAAAGATAAGAGCTTCAGCGTGGATTAAAGCCTTCTAGTGCATCCTCTAGCTAGTCAATTTTTGGAATTTATGCACACTAAAGGGGAACTAAAAAGACGCTAGTCAATTTTTGGAATTTATGCACACTAAAGGGAAACTAAAAAGACCCATACGATTGATATAGCTTTGCCATGGTCTTTCCATCTTTACTGAAAAGAGATGATAGCAAAAGCACACAATAAAAACACGAATATTAAACAGAGATCCTTACTTTTCTCTCAGGAGGTAGAGTTGTCATCCATTCATCCCTTTTAGGTTCAACTTTCACTTCCATGTCTGCCAAAAGTATATCATCGCCTTCCATGGATATACCTGTAATTTTGGAACTTTTTAGTAGTCTGTCAGAGTAGGGGGATAATTGTACTCATGAACTCCAAACAACAATCACATTTGGAACCACTGCAAATCGTCCACATTTAACAATCAGAATCAGAAAAGCAAACAGGAGGCAGCGAAAAAACCAAGTAGGTATCAATCAAGGATAAAAACAAAGATAACAAAGATAAGAAAATAAACATAAGTACCAGTCAAATCACATCTTATTTTGAAAGAAACATTAGAGTAACTAGAAGACTCTTCAAAAAGAGTGGAGTTTCTTCCTTATGCACAATTTGAAAACAGATACATACACAATCTTTTAAAAGCTGAAGAAAATTAGGGGGAGTAGCCAGCATCTCATGTTTCCTATAATCTTCAGGCATTATCCCCTCTTTGATGAAAATTTGGACATGGGATTGCTTGTTGGAAGATTTGGGAGTATGAATGGGAATGGAATAACATGTCAATGCTCTAGCAGAAGTGAATAATGACATGCTTTGGCATTGAACTTAGAAAACATTTTGAGAGGTGCAGGTTTTATGGACTATCGAGAAACTAGTACTCTTCCCATATTTCCATGTCTGGCTCTTTATTCCCTTCTTTTTAAGCTTACTTTTCCTCTCATTCTCCCCTTTATCTCCCTTCTACTTCACATTTACATGGAATTTGGTACATGTGAACGGTGCAACCAACACAAATCAGAGAAAAACAATACTAACCTTGTAGACGTCTCCATTGTGCAGCTTCTTTCATAGCCTTCAATTCAGCCTACAAAGAGCAAGTAATGTTTTTAGGTTGATATAATCACAAACAAGGGAAAGAAATGGCCCAAACCATGCAAATGTGGTACCTTAAATTCCTCTTGCTCCTCTTTCTCCTTTATTTTATCATCCATTGCTTTCCGCTACAAAGGCACCAAAAAAAACAATCATACCATAAAAAAATCTGAAAGAACTTGGATGTTCATGAAGACAAATGATCAGAAACAACAGCAAGGCTAGACACTGATGGCTTAACTTTATACAGAAAGGCAATGTTGATATACCAGAGACCAAGTAACTTAACTTATTCTCTACAATCGCTTTTCTTCTACATTAAAACTGATAAGAAAATCCAGTCATCCGAAGGCATCACTCATGCAAAAAGGATAGCTAAAACAAAAAAACTGTCTCAAGATCAAAATGTTTGCTACAGTGTCATTTGAAAAGGTTGAATGTGTAGTTTATCAAAGAGCAATTTAAGCACACACTCTATAGCACATTGAAAAGTTTAGCAACAGCAAAAAATTAAAAGCTGAAGAGAGATTCTCAAAAGAAATACAAATCAATTTACTTCAAGTTGATTGCACCATGAAAATATTAAATATTCACGTAAAACATATCCTTAAGTTTATAATAATCACCTTATCTGGATCTTGCAAGTCTTTAAAAGCTTTGTTCAGTTTGACAAATGCTTGGTGGGCTTGAGGATGAGAGCATTTGTCTGGATGCACCATGAGAGATAATTTCCAGTACCTAATTCAAAAAAATATTAGTGGCAAAAAAAGGAAAGGAAACATCAAATAAATACAACAAACGATTCCAACTATTAAACAAATCAATCATGACTACCATTATTAAAACCAAATATCACAGATACCAAATTTTATATGAAATTTTAAACTCCCAAGCAACCACTGCGCCAGATGAGGGAGCAGCTCCCAAGAATTTTTCTTGTCATAATGTGCATCAAAAGAAATGCATCAGAGCTAATTATGATGAGGACATCGGATTATGCTTTCCACCAATAACTTTAAATGTGCTTTTGTCCAGGATCTAGACGCATGCGCCTCACATGAAAATCCTCCGTTCCTAACTAGAGTTCTTTGTTCTAGAGTTCTTTTTTGAAGAGGAAGTATTCATTCATTTCCATGCCCTTCGGCCTTTACAGAGCCCCTGAAGCATAGGTGTTTTCAGGAACCTTCCAACTTATTATCTATACTGATGATGAACTTCTGAAAATAATCACTACTGCTAGATCTAGATAAGATAACCACATGTATACTTCAATTTTGAAGAGCCCCATTAGTACTTATCTCCTAGCATATTTCCTTCCCATGAGGAAATCTTGCATATGACATAATGAAAGCTACCGAGAACTTTAAAAAGCTGTTCCCATGAATGGCCATGAAATCAAACTATTTTCCAACTTCTAACATAATGATCCATCGTAGAAACCAAGATAACAAGTTATATATTCACAGCAAAGGATCCAGAAGAAACTTTTACCTTTTCTTCATGTTTTCAGCTGACATGTTTCTATTTACTCCGAGTATGTCATATGGGCTGTCTGCTTCGGCTCCCATAATTCTTGTAATCTGTACGAGAAAAGCAAACTCAGGCATGTGCATTCTAAACACATACTCATGAGTCATGATATACTAGGACCATCTGATGTAGACAACAAATAGTAATACGGAATTCCTCTGGTGTGCCCAAGGTTGGTCAGCATCTACCCAAATTTTTTTTAAAAAAAAAAAAAAAAAAAAGGCAACTTGACAATTTAACTGAGTTTTATTAATCAAGTCTTAGTAATAAGGTTTTTATTCTTTTAACGAAGAGTAAAACTGTGAAAGTGAGCCAGAAAGACCAAGTGGTCGAATTTATGGTCAAAAGTTCAGCGGGTCTCATAACTAGCATAAAATTATGCATACATGGCGAGCATTAGGTCTGTCCATTAACATTTAAGAATGGAAAATGAGATCCCATAATTCTTGCCACGAATAGCAATAGATCTCAGCAGATCTATTGCCATGAATAGCATGTACTCTTTCTAGAGCAGATATCAGCATGTTGTCTTTCTAGAGCAGAAATGCTTGACATTAAAGTTTACACACACAAGAGAAAAATAAGCAATGTGAAGGTAAGTGAGAATAATACCTCTTCAAAACGCTCAGCTTCATTTGATGACTCAGCTTCAGTAACCAGTGCAGGGGGTGGAGGCCCTATGAAAAAGTCTGAATCATCCCCAATCTCAGCTTCTCTGCACTCACCCATTAATAGAACATGCATTAGTTTGAAAACCCAGTTCCTTCAAAATTTAGACTTTAGAGAATACAAACTTCAGAAACAAAGGCACATTATACTGGATATAGAAGTGAGTAAGTGACACAGTTGGAGGTCCACGATTTACAATTCATGAGTTACTGAAAATCATAACTGTACGGTTATTCCCTTAAGAATAACAATTGTAGTTTGTTTAATTTCTTTTTAAATTGATCAACTGAAAATCATGGGTCGATGACCAGAGCATCTATAAACCTTTCCAGCTAATTTGTACCAAAAGCTTTTGTTTTCAAAGTCAATTTGGTTACATTTTGGGACCTAAGTTATACTTGTTTTACATCCTGCTACAATGAAAATTCAGACATATTGCAAAGTATTCTTAACTCATGCAACCTGCATCCATCATTCACTAAATGGTTGTTGATAAGCTTCCCCCAAATAAGCTTTAGTACAGCTCTTACTAAAGGAGACACAAAATGCAACAATCACCAAAGCACATTTTAAGACTTTCTAGTATGTACATTTTCCTATTTTGTTTAACCACAAACTTTTTTTTTTTGGGTCCAAAGTGAAGCTGTACTCACTGATTCTAGCAATTCTAGCAAAGGTAGGTTAATTTTAAAGTCTGATACAATCCAACAGGAACATTTCTTTCAACTCTGCTCCACCGAGAAGTTAATTCAGACACAACAAATGCCACATGGCAGAAAATGGAAGCATAGAACTAGCAATACCTCAATTCAGCTTCTGCTTCAGTTAATTTGGCTGCAGCTGCTAGTAACTCAGCAGAAGGCATTTCGGGGCCAATCACCCTGAATCCAAATATAGTAGAGTTGAGTTATACTTGTTTTACAGATACATTCTCCAGTCAAGTTACAGATGCATTCTCCAAGTTAACTAAAGCATGTACATATCAAGAGCTTCACTTGGTTACCAATGCAAAAGTAAGGGAAAACCACAAGAGAAACATCAAACTCTATATAACTCCAGTACAAATTTGTCACAAGATATTTATATTGTACTTTGCCAGGATGGCTTTTCTTTTCTACATAATTCTTTCCCGAACGCTCAAGAAGCAGAAAAACACACCACATCTTTTCGAACTAACCAAGGTAAAAAGAAAAGATGATAATTGGTTACCAGATTATCAAGCCATAAAATAAATAAAAGGGAGATATACACTCTGCCCCTAGTAAACAGGGTGGAGAGGAAGAAACGACAATAGTCTACTTCTTAAACCAATTAGGGATCAACGTGCATGAAAATAGGAGTAGAACGAGAAAATAAAAATACCTCTTACGAGGGCCAATGTTATCTTCAGATGGATTATTAATCTCAACATCTTGTCCAGTCCTTGCATCTGGTAATTCAGCATTCATATTCTTCTCTGAAACAGCATTATCAAGCTGCTGCATACGAGGCTGAACGTGATCACGAATGATGGGTCCAACAACCTTCAATGTAGGCTGCTGTTTGGATTTCAATATAAAGGCATGCTCATCAGTTTCTTTAAGGTTAAGGGAAAGGAATAGCCTTCTCAGGTGCTTGATCAAAGCCCTTTCAGACAATCCCCTAATATCAACAGCTTGACCATCATCTATCATCAACAAAAGCTGCAAAAGTACAACAATCACCACATTAGTAAAGTACTAGTAGCTGTACAAATAATATTCTTCCTAATATATGAGACAAACAAAAATGCTCAAAGATTTTTGGTCTATAGTGTAGGAAAACAAGGTCAAGATGCAACGCCACAAACAGAGACGCAAGATATCCCAACCCTGAAAACCACCACTATTCTATCACATTAGCCAGTACAGTTTTACAATATTGTCTTGGTCATTCATAATCATCATCATCATCATCATCATCATAATAATAATAATAATAACGATTCCCGGTGCAAAAAGGCTCCCTGGTTCACCAGGATATGGGGGAGGGACGTTTGAACACAACCTTCCTATTACATTTTGCAAAGAGGCTTTTTCGTTTTCCGTGACCACCAAGTAACAAAGCAGCAACCTCACAGTCATGCCAGATGCTCACCCTCCATTAACATTATGGTACTAATCTACAAGTCACAAAGGGCAGCTAGGACAGTTCTAGTGTCACATTGATATAAGTCCATTATCATTCTAATCAGCTCATTGTTGCCTTGATCATTGTGGAAACAAATTTAACTCAATAGCAAAAGAGGCCTATTGTCGCACGAAAAGTCGGTAAATTGCTGGACTTCCCCAGACCTACTTTGTTCCATGTTTGTATACCGTAAATCCTTGCACTCAAACAAAAACACTACCCATAGTTTGCTCCAAATTCAAACTTTTCTTTCACCCATACTATACTTATTCTAGCTGTCCCAAAATCAGGCAAGCTCACCCCATTCACATTTTCCATCTGTTATTTGACAAACTTCCAAATTTCACCAATTAGAAGTCCACCCACATTATTTCAAATAAGAATCATAATTCCCAATATCAAACAAGGCAAATGCTTCTCACCGGAAATAAAGAAAGACAGTGACAGAAAAATTACCATACACAAAAGCACTTTTGAGCTATATTTACAGTCAATTCCGCGTCAAAGTTCACCTCTTGTTAACATTGTCCTAAAACGGTTTAAGACCCACCAATTGAAAAGCGAAAAAATAAAAAAGAAAAAGAAAATCACATTGTGATAACTGTTCCAACTCAAAATTCATCATAACTCAACCAAAATTTAAAAGGAAAATTAACAAGCAGATGAACAATCTTAAACTACCAATTGAAAAGTTTTTTGAAAGAACCCAAAATGCTGAAAATACCTGTTCCAGCTCTCCGGCCACAGCTGGAAATTCTTTCAGCAAACATCTCAAAACCTCCTCCGGATTGTCTCTCGGGCCCGAACCTTCACCTGAATCGTCCGAATCCGAGTCCGAATAGTACCTTTTCCCTTTCTCTCGCTTCGCTTTGCTCCTTCGTTTTTCTCTTCGCCTTGATGATTCCTTCTTTCCGGAGGAGGATCTCCTCTTGCGGCGGTGCTTCCTCTCCAAGCTGTCCGAACGGCGTCGTTTATGGCTTCTCTTCCTCCTGCTGTAGTCATCGTCATCATCGCTTTCGGAGGAATACGACGACGATGAGGGTGGAGATGAAGAAGTGGTCGAGTCGGACTCATCTTCTTCTTTACTGTGGTCTTTCCTTTTGCTGGATTTTTTGGTCTTACGATGAGAACGTTCGCCCATGGTTTTCCCTAGCTTCTTCTCTGTTGTGAGTTCAGGTGATTGCGAGCTTCGGCCGGAGGGGAAGGGGGAGAGCCGAAGAGAGGAATATCTCAGGATTTTATTTTACAAAGCGCGAAAAGGGACACCCGACCCGAACCGAACCTTGTTTCCGGTCAGGAATAGGATTTAAGTGATGAAATTTCCATAATTAGTCCCTTATAATTTACTAAATAAGTTTCAGTCCCTTAACTTTGAAATCAACAACATTGGGGAATTATTGGGCAGTTGGGCTGCTTGGACTTTGGAGTATACTGTATGAAATTTGACGGGTTTTGCCCAACACCAAAGGTATTTTTCATTTCGTTACTTCTTTTTTTTTTTGACAAACTTTCATTTCATTACTTGATTTATGATTTTAGTTTTTTTTAGTGTGAAAGAACATATTGTCCTCCTTATTCTGATACAAATTCACATCAAAGGCATGGTGCTTGAACTTTTATGCACGAGAAATTTGATTAACGAGCAATACTCAATCAATATTTAATCCAAGTAATAAGGGCAGATTCGTTTAATTATTATTACTCACTATATGTCCCAAAAAAATATACTAGTTCATAACTTCATACTGGAATTTGTGATTCATAATTAAAAAAATACAAATGTGAATTATTTTTTGACACAATAAAGCACTTGAATTCAAATGCATACAATAACAATTCAATATTTGTTAAAAGAAAATTTTATAAATCGACTCAAATGCATATGAAGAATAATGATTTTGAACACTAGTTAAAATAGAAGGTCTCTTGTCCAAGTTTATTTCCTTAGTTCCAGTCAAGGGCGGCTTAAGGTTTTTGGGGCCTAAGGTAAATTTTGAAATCGAGACCTTTTAATAATAAAGAAAATTAAAAAAATTAACCTCCTTTATTTTTTCGGATTTGAGACCGGTAATTCTAAACCCATGAGCCTATAGCAGTCGGAATAGAAAAATTATTTTTATTCCAAATATTGTAACTATTTTGGTCACAAATTCTTTTAATAATTTCATGTTTCACATTTTCATCAAAACGCGTCTTTCTATAAATTTTGTTTTTTTCTTCAAATTTAGGTTCTATGTTCATCTTGACACCGATTTTATAGTTAAATTTATAGCGTTTTAGAATTCATCTTTTATGTATTTTTTCAAAAATATTAATTAGACATTTTAATTATTTTATAAAATAAAGAAAGTCATATATGAATGTCGAATCGATTTTTTTTTTCCATTTACAATTGGTCAATATTGATTAGTACTAAATTTTTCCAATATATATATATATATATATATATATATACACACACCGAGGTTCCTCCCAGTTCTGAGGCCCTAACTGGTGGCCTATTTTAGCTAATGGAAGAGCCACCCTTGTCAACATGTGCCCCGAGATTCCGAATGGAATTTAGTATTGCTATCACGATGATGAAGATTTCACGAAAAAAAAAAAAAAACGAGCTTTTGATTCAAAATAAGGAGTGCCACAAACACTATGAGTACACATGTCAAACCTGTCTCAATGTATTTAAGACGGCGAATGATTTGCGTGTGCATCAAGATGAGATGCCAGACAACAACAACAACAACAACAAGTAGGAAGTGGTGAGTGGAGTAATAAAGAAAAATAAAATCCAGTGAAGTTGTGAGCTCTTGTTTTTCTTTTGTTGTTGTAATTGTTTTTTTTTTCTTTCCGTTTTTTTCTTTATTTTTTTTTGTTGTGCTCTAATGCAGGCTTTTCTATTCAAATAATATTTAATTTTAGAAGTTGTTCCAGTTTTCAGTTTATAGAATTAAATGTTTACGTTGAAACTTCCAGTCAAGAATAACATATGCAATTTAATACTAGTCTGTTATGTGTTGTACCTTCTACTATTTTTTCTGGTAACAGTCGATGGTTTTGTTGTTGTGCTCTAATCATATAACAGAGGTGTGCATATTGATTCCTTAGGTCCAAGTTTTATTAGTACTTTAGAAGGTACAAAATATGAGGTATTATAGGAAATGATATATATATAGTGAATAAAAATAATAACTGATGTTGACTAATTATGGCTCTTAGTTTTTTTGTAACTTTTTTCTTGAATTTTTATTTTTTTCCGAAAATTACATTTTTACTGTTGATTAATAACTAGACATGTTTAGTAGGTGTATAATGTATTTGTCGTTCCATTTGTCACTATACAAAGCCACTATATAATTCATTGCTCTATTAAATAAATCTATGAAAATTAAAGAGCTGTAGACAAAAGTTGACTAGGAAATTTCAAAATTTATGAGACATGCTTCTCATTAGGTAAAAGAAATAATTGAAAATGAATTTGATTTGGTGTTAAAAATCTTTTTAAAGACATTTGGTAAAAGGGGAAAAGAAATAACATGATGAATAGGGTAAATTTTACTTTTTCACAAGTTTATATGGAAAAGTCAGTGCATACTACCACATCAATAATGCTCGATGGCCTTCGGCAATGTGGTACATATGGGGCTGCTTTGACATTTTCTGTCATGGTGACTCAGAAGAAACTACAAGAATGGCTGAAATGACCTCATTTAGTGTCTTTTTTATTTTTATTTTTTTCCTTTCTGCAGTCTTATATTTTAATACTAAATTCAAAGTAATCCCTTTTACCCTATTAAAGTAGAAAACAGGATGCTGATGTGGCAATTTTGTATTAAAATGTTTTGGCTCCAAATGCACCATATTGCATAAACTATTCTGACACGTGTCACCCCCTTTTAAAAACAAAAAATATATTTACAATATTAACGAAGAGATTAGATGGCCATGTTCATTTAAATTTTGAATTTGACAGGGAATAGAACTTTCTTTCTCCACTTATTTAGGACTTTCGAAAAAATTAATTTTCGGTCAATCAATTATTTTCATCAAAAACTAAATTCATTCCTAATCAATTTTAATTATTTACATATCAATTTATTAGGTGGGAGGACGCCCCCGGGCATTTGCCTGGGGCAAGCATCTAGTTCATAATTATAGACTTATAGTTTTTAGCAATATAGACTACTAAAATGTCACGGAGAGAGTAATAATACTTTAGCCGTGATCAAAATAAAAGCAGCCACTCTATAATCAAATCCTTGCAGCAGTGAGATTTATGACATAAAGAAATCTGGAAATGAAAACAGATAATATAGTTAATCAGAGTGAAATGCCGGGTAAAAAAGCAAATCTGGATATGCATCAACATCAAGCAGGTAGGGCAGAGTGGTTCAAAACTTCAAATGGAAGCTTGTTGGATCCCATTTGGCTCCAAGAATCCCGTGGCCACAGAAATTCATGGGGTCAATTTTATGATCCATAAAGACAACATTCAAATCCCTACATACACACAGATTTAGAAAAAGGACCTCAGCAAACATATTATTAAAAGAAAAAGGATTCCTCATGCAGAAACTTTTGTAGTCTTTTTGGCATAAAGTATAAACTAACAATAAAGTAGTCATTTGCTTACATAAAATGAAGCTTCCATACATGTCCTGTGGTACTAAATTACTGCTAACACCACTTTTTATTAACTTTAATACAATAAATGAATGATTGGTGAGAAAAATTTGACATTATTTCACATGTTGTTTTCATTACTGAGTCAATTTGTTGTATAAAGTTGAGATTCAAAGCAAGGATTCAGATAACTGGGTAGCATACTTTGACTTTGCAACAAGTAAACCTATTGAGCCCAGACCAGATAGAAATTCAGCAGCTATGGCTTCTATGACAAAAAATTAGAGCCTTGGGGAAAAAACATCTTACTACAGAAGAATCAATCATTTGGAGAAGAACCCAGTTTAGATTATAGTCAGAATCTTTGTCTTTGTTCTTTAGATTGCAGCAGGGGCATGAAAAGATGGGGAAAACTGGTTGCACCATAGATGGTTCCCTTGATGCTTCCAAGTTCAATGAGCCGATGCCATGGATTGGTGTTTATATTGCAGCAGCATCTGCAGCTTGTGCAATTGGCATGGCCATAGATGCCTTTCACGGCATACGTTACAGAAAGTTCTGGTTTCCTAGCAAGTTCTTCTCCCTCAATGCAACAAGTCTTACTCTTCTGGCAGTGGCTACAAAACTATCTGTTGATTTGAACACATCCATGCCAAGGCCACAGGATCAGCTGGCGAAACTAAGTAGCACGATTTTGGTCTGCACGGTAATGGCAAATTTCATGCCTTCTTTAGGAATCATGGAGAACAAAGAGCTTTTGGCTAACATGGTGGCTTTGGGAATTTTTGTCATCACTGTCATGGTGAACATCTGTATTGAATTAGGTACGGGAGTTATATATGTTTTCTGGAGAGAATATGCTGTGAATCTTGCTATCATGCTTATTTTGCTTGCTTTAAAGATTTCTTCAGCTCTCACAATTCCCACCACAAAGAAATATTTTGAAATGAAGAGCAAGAAGAAGCTAAAACTGGCTAAGTTGGAATGCAATGACAAATCTAAAAGATGCCCATCCCAAAAATTACCTGAAAAATTGAAAGAAGATTTGACAAAATACTGGATGATGGCACACACATGTAACCCCCAATTTGTGATGGCACGCTTAGCAACATGTAGTGCCTCAGGGGCATTCTGCCTTATTAGTACAGCTACTTTAGCAGAAGCCATGATCCGTTGTTTCTTCATGCCCTCCCACTTCAAATTTTGCGAAGGCAATTCTGATTACAAGTGGTCCACTACATTGATACTGATAATTCAAGCTATAGCAATTGGAATAGGTACTGTGGCTCCAGCTTCAAGATATTTTGCAACCATAAATTTCAGGTGTCCCAAGAAAGCAATGAAGGCCTGCAGGGACAAGTTTAAAATGGAGAAATACTGGACCGTCATGTTCATTCTATTGAGAGAGAGCCCCCTAGAATGGAGACTCTATTCCAAGCATGGAAGAAAGCTGGTGTATACCGTTAAAGATAAAGCCTTGGACTTGTGTGTCTATTCTCAGATTGGGGTGGTCTGGCTCAGCAAGCTAGTCCGGCTAATTTCACTGATGTTGATAATCAGATTCCTTCTCGGCTATCAGTCCTTTTTAAGGCTGATCAGGTGGGTAAGATCCGACAATAGGTTCCATGAACCAGAATCAGACTCCCAGCATAATCCAATGCAAGAACTTGGCCGTTTTGTAATGAACCTCGAAGGGGAGGAAGAGTTTATTGACATGATGATGCAAAGGAATTGTGATGCTACAGGGCATTGGATCAGAATGGGAAGAAAGGATCAGCCAAAACATGTAATACGACTTTTAGAGAAGCTGTGCTCATCAAGGGAGTTTGAGGGAGTGAACCGATTCGACAGCGACCTGGTTCATTCATTAGATTCTGACGAACCTCCCAACTGCTGGGCTCTTCCCGTGGTGACATTAACAAGCATCGCTGTTGCCCTTCCGAATGTTGACCTGGAATTGAAAAAGGAACTGATACGCAGTGTACATGAAGCACTGACATACATCAGGTTCATAGAAAACAGCTTAGATCCTAAGAAAGAATTGACAAATCTCAGGAAGGCAGCAGCTGCACTGTGGACAGGAATTGATCTCCACTACAAATGGCTTGATGTAGATCTCCGCAAAATCGCCCTCCAAAACAAAATCCCAAAGGAAATATTTGAAGAGCTTGCAAATGAAGCAAAGCATCGGTACAAGGTGTTCCGGGAGAACGATCCATTAGCTTGTATAAGAGAAAATGCAGCTAACTGGCCAACCAAGGTCTTAATTGCAAATTCTATGTACAGAATTTGTCAGACTCTTTTGGTAAGTTCAAAAGGCAGAGAGTGGGAAAGCGGGAAGTTGGTGTTTGATGAATTGTCCACTATGATTGCAGAAATCATTGGGGCATGCTTTACAAACTTGCAGTATATTATCTCTGAGCAAAGCCATCAAAGTTCCATTGAAGAAAGGGAGGATAGAACCCGGCATTCCATTCTTCTTCTGGGCAAAACAGAGAAGATTCTGGAGATTCTCGAGCAGCAAACGCTTCCAAGTTACAAGCCAGATCAGTCACTGCACATCGATCAGTGGAGATTGTTAAGCAGACGAAAATCTCTTTTAGAATCCAGTTCTTCTATGACAGATGACACAACTACTAGAAACTCCCCAGATTTGTATCTAAATATTGACTCATAGGATGCTTTTAACTTTTATTTTTCAATATAATACTACAAAATTATCATCCACTAACTCTTTATTTAACAATCAATAGTCATTATGAATATATCCAAACTTTTTGTACTACATATATCCAACGAGTATCGTTTGGCATGAAATGAAATCAAGAACTCTTTTTTTGAATGTTAAGCTATTCCAGCTTCAGAATGCATGTGGTTGGAAAGAAAGTTGTTAACTTTACCTAACAATAACTAAGACATGAGCAATAACAGAATATTTAGTCGCATGGACTATAGTCATTTCTTTAATATAAACATCATGGTATGATATTTTAAATCTATTTATTCTTTGAGTGAACACTATTGGACAAAATTACATCTGGAAGCAGGTAATATTAAAGCATCCAAAAGGTTGGTTGTTTCCTTAGTCAATATTGATGATTTAAAGGGTTTTAGAAAAACATATATCAAAAGATTGAAACCATGGTGTTTATATAATAATTCTTTAAAGTTTATATGGATGAAATATATTTTCAAGTAAACTCAAGAACATTTTTCTTTTCAGTTCAAGTACTTTAATATCTGAAACAAATATTGAAGGACTGAGACACACATCAGGGCAATTAAACGTATAATTATTTCACGGATTCGGGAGCCAAATTGAGGCAGAACCACATTCTAACTGTTAAGCAGTTAGAGAATTGTGTATCCTTTTCAAGATAAATCTGGAAAAGACACAGCAAATCACGCCAAACAACTGCAAGAAATGCAACTCAGGCCTAAAACTAAAACCTCTTCCAACTGAGGTAAACGAGGTGATGGTCTACTGCTAATGCTGAGATCATAACTCAGCCAAAATTTAAACTTACCATTTGGAACCAAAGTGGACCAAATCTTGCCAACTCTGCGCTAACACAAAAACAGAACTTGAGATGCTCTCGTCTCGGTAGTAAAAGAGATAAACATTGACCTCTCTATTCCTCCACCCCCCTCCTCTCTCAGATTGAATCCCACCTAAACTTATCAGGATTATGGCCAAACAAGGTGACAGGGGCATTCATCAATGCTTCAAAATTAACACAATCTATTTGATCAATCTCAATAATGAAAAGTCTAAATTACTAAGCAAGTTGCAAAACTAAAGGTTCTCCAACATCCATTAAAGCTTAAAGGTAAAACTTTCAACATCGACGAAAAGAGAATGTGGGCACACCCTATAATGCACGAGATTGAAATAAGACAGAAGGGAAGGCCAACACATACTCGAGAAAAATAATAACTGATGATTCAATGAATCAATGCTCTTACATGAAAGACTGACTAAATGGTGTACAAATAAGAACTAATAGACAGCAAAACATGAAATGCCATCCTCTGTATGCATAATTGATGCCCAACGTACACAAACAAAAAATCAACCAAAAGTTGGACTACTGAAATCCCAAATTTACAGAAGTTTACTTAGAAAAGTAGAGCTGTAAACCACTTTAACTCTTACCTTCTCCTTCTCCTTGCCAATGTTGAGAACAATGAACTCCAACAGCCCATTGGTAATTCACCAATTCACCACAAGTGTCATCAAAGTCTAACAGGAATCTTCCACAAACTCGCCACCATCAACATGTCAAAATTTCTTTCATTCCAAAAATGTACAGTAGAGAGTTTCGAACCCAGGACCTTGCTTCGGTTCCCAGTTCTCAATTCTCTCAAAAGTCTTTGAGAAAAAGATGGGACTTTGGGGAAATTTCCGTCATCTTTTTGCAGATGAAATTTGGATCTGTTCTGCTCGTTTTACAGCTATTTGTTGTAGAATTGTTGTTCAAGATTTGCAGCAGATTAAGAACGTAGCATTTGATTGGGAATTGTGCCAAGAAATTGCTAACAGTTTCTATCTACTTTGGAATAGTTGTTGGAAGTGGGAACCTTGTCCCACATCGATAACGTTGACGATTCGTGAACCGCTTTATTTAGCTCGAATCTGAACCTTACGGTTGTCCCTTCGGGGACATCCGATAAAATTGGAACGATACAGAGAAGATTAGCATGGCCCCTGCGCAAGGATGACACGCACAAATCGAGAAATGGTCCAAATTTTTTTGGGCTTTTCTCCCATGTTTTGGGCCGCGATTTCTTTCGTTGCGTCTTGGGCCTTTTTTAGCTGCCTAGATCAAAGATTCACAAATAGAGATGGACCCAAAAGGCTGCAAACATGATCCACCTCTAAATTTAATTCTACTTTTCGGTCCAAGTTTAGTTATGAACGTATGTTTTGGTTAAAGAAGAAAAGAAAAAAGATATTGTAATTACTTGTTAATATATTTTCTTATAACTTTGTTACATTTTTTTTTCTTACAAATCTTTAGTACATTTAATTTAATCGAGATTAAGTTAGAATAAATAAATACTTCAAAATAAAACAATTATACTACCATCTTATTAAAATACACTCTAGTTTCTTGATGGTTGATGATAGTCTAAATCGAATTTCTTACATTCTTTTTCCCCACGCAAACATCTCAACTTCACCTCAGATCAGACAAAATTTGCAAAATAAACTTAATAGAATATAACCGGCTCCTCCTACCTCACACATGTTAATTAACAACATACAATTAGCATAATTAACACAAGTGAGGAAATGTTAAAAAAAAAGAAAAGTTATCAACGTGCCAAAAAGAAAACTATGAAAATTTTATTAAGTATATATTGACAATACAAAACTACCTTTTCAAAAGGGAAAAGAAAAACGAAGACAATGAAAAACTGGAGTGTATCATTTGGGATTGCGACATTTCACTCGAAATGGCCATGTATGTGGTGTTTTACCCCGTTCTTCATTGGACAATGCCATGTATTTTCTCCATTCCTCAATCAACATATTCAAGCGGAATGTCTTCTGACCTAAACCTACACAGCAATTCGTATGCATCAAGCAAACCAGATTTAGATCCAAACTCGGCTCACAAAATCCCCCGTAAAATGCAGTGTCCAACTGTCTGATCTTGATCCCGATTTTGTGAGTCATGGGATCGTTCCTTATCACAAGGAACATGTCTTGATCGTTTTTACCTTGATTTTGGAATCTGGACTTGACCCAATACTCGAAAAATTGGATCGTACGGTTATTTGATTTCACGTAATAAAATCCCGTGTTTGGTATGTTGCGTTTCGCCGTAGGAGAACCCCGATAATGATCGCTTGAAAGTTGCATGTCCGCATCTTCAAGAAAATGTAAGAATGGATCTCGAAACCATAAAATGTCTGTATCCTGATACAAACAAACATTGTATTGAATTTAGTGTTTGTGTCCGAAATTCCAATCATAATCTCAGGTGAAAAAGGAAAGTAATGAACCCAAATGTGTGCTAAACATGACTTTTTTTTGTTGTAAACTAAGTTAAGATTAACAAATGTTAAAACCTATGGAACCAATGATCTTGCACATATGTATGTAATAGAGCTTGTGAAGACTAATTGAATGTAAAGGTAAAGTTTGATGATACATCATAGTTCAATAATAAGACGTCTCCCTGACAAGATAAATACTGCTTCCGATCCTTCATATAAGGTATTTTGATTTGTCTTAAGTTTCACCTAGTATACATTTTTAATTGACAAAAAAATCTTAAACATATATTTTCTCATTTCTTGTGTTCTCTTGATTGTTAAGAAATATTTTTAAGATTTTTTGTCAATTAAAAACACATACTAAGTGAAACCTAGTACAAATCAAAATTTCTTATATTAAAGATCAGAGGAGTGATAAAAGTGAAACTAAAAGTAGTGGATAAATATGCATACCGTGAAAATGGCGTTGTAACCGAGATTAAGAACTGTGTACATAATTTCAATCTTTCTCCAAACCAGCCTCACATAATCTGGGGTGTTAACCTTGGACTCGTGCTCCGCAAAATCAATCCCTTCGGTCCTTATTGCGTAACAATATGGGTGCATCTCCAAACAACGGTTGTAAGACTTTTGATCAAGTGCCATAACCACCAAATGGTTTATGAACTTTTGGGTTTGGTTTCCAATATGAAGGCTCACCAAAAACGAATCGAATAATAAACCCGGTTCTGTCCATGCTGCATTTACTGCTGTTACTATCACAGTGTTATTGTTCCCCTTTGCTGCTTCCTTCAATATTTTTTCTAATTTGACTTCATCTGTTTCTTCATCACCTGCAATTACCTGACCAATAACAAAATTTAGTCACGTGTTAATAATTGAAAATGTTATTCTCGAATGGAGTAAGTAATCATTCAATATTATCGACTAATTTTTTGAAATAAATGTAACAAGATGAAGTAGATGATGTTTTACAAATATGTTTTTCACATCTTTTCTTCTCTTTTCAAGAAAGTGAGAACTTTTCGTCCTAGGAAAGAAACCAAGCTCAAATATCTAAACCTACTTATACTAATTTCAAAGCTTTTCTTAATACGTTAATTTCTTGATGTTCACATATACTCATTCCAGCATGAAATGATTGTCTAGTCTAGATTTTCACTTTTCGTATAAAGTGTATTATAAATAAAAGTTCAAATTGGTCAATCTGAGACAGAAAGAATACTAATTTTAAACTTCATTATGATTTTCCAAACATTAATTTTTTGTGGCTTTGAACCATTAGATGAATCACTTTTTCGAGAGCCATTAAACACATTATAATGGCTTTATCAATGTATGATTTTGACATAGCATATCCGATTTCATGAAAGGTCTCGTACTCCTAATTTGCAAGAAAATTAAAGGTATGCAAAAAACTGGTGAAAAAACAACGAAACAGAGCCGAGTTATATAACTGAAATGACACAAATAGAAAAAGAAAAAATAAAGAAGGTGATGGACATGAAAAAAAGGAATGAGACAGGTAGAGTAGAGGATTCATTTGAGCCATTTCCTGAAAGTGTAATCGAGCAGTAAGAGTGACGGTTATACCTTATGCGTTCAGAGGTGAGGGCTTCGAACCCCACCCTTAATAACGTTGTTAAGAAAGTAACTAAACATAACCAAAGAAATAAAATTAATGCTAACTTACAAGAGATGGATCAGGTACATTTGCTTGTGCGACTGCCGTCGGTGACGATGAAGTATTAGGTTGTGATAAATTTTCTTGACCATTTGATGCTGTAGCCGATGAATCATGAGATATAATTACAGAAGGGACGATTTTCGGACGATAAGAAATGGGAAAATGGTAATCAACGTGACTGGACGAATGGTAAAGAAGAAAGCATGCAACCGCAATTGCAAGTACATAAAGTATTGTCTTCCTAACATTAAATTTGGGTGAAATGTTTTGCTGGTAATTTGTGGGATTGTTGTTGATCTGCACAGAAGGGCTTTTCCGATGGCGGTTATAGCCTCCGGCTCCGGCTGCCTCCATATGTCAATACCCGAAATTTGCTTCTTTCTTTTCTTTCTCCTCCTTTTATTGTTGCATGAAATGGCAGTCAACTAGTTAATGTAACTAGCCTAATGTATACATTGGTTATTATAAAATTAAGGAAGCGTAACAAAATCGGTGTTAGCTGATGTAAAGTTTACGTTGTTTAGTCAAAAGTTGATCGAGGGGCTTTGCAGCTGCCGCAATTAAGGGTACTTGCTTTTGATACACTTCCTAAGTTCCAACTGCGGAAATGTTGCTAGTTTAATGTAAATATATGTTGAAAAAATGTTCATAAAATGTTAAAGGCAACATTGGCCCAGATAATCAAATTCTTCGAATGTTTTATTTGAAATTTCAAGTTTCTAAAGAAAAAAACAATGGGCGGAAATGTAGATCTTATTGTAATAGTTAATGACTTTATGTTATTCTCACTAATTCCAAACGAAAATTTGTAGATCGTATAGTATACACTCTCCGTCCATTCTATATATATATAAAAAAAAAAGTTCGTACAAGTAAAATAAATATTAGGTTTGTCTCAAAAAAATATTAGAAAGCTTGCTTTGGATTGTAGGTTAATACTATAATAACTAAACATGAGTTAGATGTCAAAAGCAAACAAAGTTTTCAAACAATTTGTCTTCAGCAAGACATTGTTAATAATTCACATTCTCGAACTGTGTTAGTTTTTTTCTTTATAGGGTACTGCCTATACAAAAAGGGGGGAAAAAAAAGAAGAAAAGAAAATAAACTATAAGGAGATTAAGTAAGAAATTCGTGTTTATTTTTCCTGACCGCCTTTGTTGCAAATTGCAAAGTCAAATTATCTAGAAACACTAATTAATATAATCTCCTTTCACAAGTTACTAGTTTATACCCGTACGTTGCACAGATTAACAAATTATTCTTATGCAAATATCAGGTAATAATATTTTGCAATTGTAAAACTTTTCAATAATGATGTGGTAAAAAAAAAATATATAATGCTGGGGACCCAGTGATGAAATGAATCAAAGTCGGTAAAACTAATGAACATTTATATCCTCTGGAGTATTTCGTTGAAGAACACGTTTTTCGTCCAATAGCTAAATTCTCCTTATTGTATATGAGTTCTTTGAGATATTGTCTGGATTTTACCTTAGAAAGTGCAACTTATTACTGTCCAAGAGCAAAGTCTGGATTTTATCTCGTTAAGGAATTCAGGAGTTTACACCTCGCATTTTTATCGTTGGTGGATTATTTCGTTCAGGTTAGCCAATAGATCGAGATATAGCGTGACAAATTGAAACAATAGGAGAGTACTATATGCTCGACCAAAATGTCTTTAGGTATGTCAAATTCGACTTCTCTATGGTTTGGCTCTCCAAATTTTCTACCGCCGATCATGAGTAACCATTATACAAACTTTTTTAAGCCGTCAAACAATTCAGTATCAAGATCATGTCCCAATCTCATGTTCTGCGTCTATCTCAAGGCTATACATTGTTCCCACAAGGCGATGCATTAACTGCAGCGTTAATGATCTCTTGTTGGATTCTTTTTAGAATAACTGGCATCTGTTTAAAATCTCTTCCTAGAGTTGTACTAAATCGTCGAATACTTCTTCCTCACTCTTGGGATTCCGCTGACGCAATATATCTCTAAGTGTTCTATCTAACTCCACGAAACAATGCATGTGAGTCATAAGGGATTCATCCAAGATAATTAACTTGGCGTGTTCTTGTAGAGCACCACAATCGATTTTCGGCATCACGTAACAAAATAGAATTACGTTGCACGACGTATTTTAGATATTATTGTGATAAAAATTTGAATATAAACGATCATAGGTGTTGTTGATGATAAAATTTAAAAGGATAAAACGCACTTTTGGTCCCTAAAATATGGGGGATGACAACTTCTGGTCAACGTTAATTTTTTACTGACAAAATTAGTCACCATCTTTTCATTTATTCAATAATTTTAGTCAATTTAACAGTAAACTAATGGTCAACTTTTTTCTCTGTTAAGTTTTTTATTTTTTATTTATTTTTTACTAAATTGGGACCCGCAATGTATTTTCAAATAACAAAATCAATCTCCTAATATCTTTTTCTTCAACAATTTTAGTCACTTAATAGAATTTTCAAAATTTAATGGTCCCATTCAATTCTCTTTTTAAGTGTTTATTTTTTATTGATTACTTAATAGATTGTGGGTCCTACAAGTCTTTGATCAGATTTTTTTTTTAAAAAAAAATAAATTAAAAGAATAATGAAAGATTTCCGATCAACTTTCTAAATCCCAATATACTGCTCCCGAACGTCTCATCATCACCTCTCCACCTACAAAGTAACCCAGAAAATGAGCCTCATTATTGATCATTTTCGTTGTCGGATTTTTTTTTTTTAGAATTTATTTCTCGAGGAGCAAAATATTTGGGGTTTAAGAAGTCGTCGGAAATATTTTCGTTATTTCTTTAACTTATTTTTCTTAAAAAAAAACATTCTGATCAAGGACCAGTGGGACCCATGATCCACTAAGTAATCAATAAAAATTAAAGACTTAAAGAAAAATTGAATTGGGTCATTAAATTTTTAAAAATTCTGTTAAAGTGACTAAAATTATTGAAAAAAAAATATTAGGGGACTGATTTTGTTGTTTGAAAATACTTTGTGGGTCGCAGTTCAGTAAAAAATTAATAAAAATTAAAAAACTTAACGGAGAAAAGAGTTGACCGTTAGTTGACAGTTAAATTGACTAAAATTGTTGAATAAACGAAAAGATAGTGACTAATTTTGTCAGTAAAAAATTAAAGGTGACCAGAAGTTGTGACCCGCCATAGTTTAAGGAAGTGCGTTTTGTCCTATAATGAATAAGAATCAACCATTTTGTATATCATTGGATTCTTTACATATCATCTAATCTTGTAATTTGTGTATTCGGAAATTCTAAATTTTCTACCCGTACAAATTTGACAGTATTTTTTTTTGAATTAATTTAGTAGGTATCTTCATAATTAATTGCATGTTACTTTTTTGGATATGGAAAAACATTATTTTCAAAATTAACAAATCGTAAATAGTGAGTGGTGGTAAACACAATTATTGTTCAAAATTAAATAGTAATTTTATGAGTATTATTACCATATATATACATACTAATTAATCAAATCAACACCCATATCAAGTGAATGAACATTTATATGAAAGAGAATAATTAGGAACCAATAAGAAATTAAAAGTAATTACCAATGGAAAGATAGAATTTCTTTTTTTATTATTATTAAGGTAGTTAATGCATATATATATATATGGAATTTAATAAAGATAGGTGAAATGAATGAGTGATAAGTAAATTAAAGTAACCAATTTATATAAAAGTTTAACGAGTTAATGAAAGAGTGTCTCTTAGCCTGACACGTGGCAAAAGAAGTCTCTGACAGTGACAAGTGGCGAAAAAGTTACTTGACTATGTTATTGTATAATATGTGGCGATTGAAAACCTTCTGTTAATATATAACTAGTGTTTAGCCCACACGTCGTGTGGGTTATCCAAAATAGTATTAATGATATATTAATGATATAAAGCAATTGTATAATTTTTAATGTCAACGTGTTTTGTTATTTTCGGTGCATTTGGAATAATATTTTAATATTCTAAATCATTTAATATAATTTATTGTTCTCTTTTTTCTTTTTTTTTTTTTCATTTTGTTGATTTATGGTTTTACACCTTTTAAAAGTATTCGCTTAATTTTTCATGATCATCGAATTAATTTTTTTACTTGTATCATATTTCTTAAGTTCTCCATCTAACATAAATTTTTCACATTATCTATTTTCATAAACTTATCTTTATATTCATCTCTCTATATACCTTTTGTAATTTTTCTTTAGATGTTTGTTAGTATATTTTTTCTATAACATATTGTTATTTTATTTTTTCCGGGGTTGCATAGTTTTCACTTTTTTTTTAATTTGATAACCTCTCTTTAGAACTTTATTTCTTAAAAAACTTGCAATAATTATTTTATTTTTTACTATTATCTCGATTTCCTTTTTCATATTTTCTTATTCTCTTTATAATTTTTTACTTTATATAATTATTTTTAATTTCTCAATATGTTTTTCTTCTACTGTTTGTCTTTTAGAAAGACCATAATTTTCTTTTTCTTATTTTTGAAAACTTTCTCCCTGTTAATCTGTACGTTTTGTTTTATTATCATAAAGTTAACTTTTTCTATTATTATAATGAATATATTATATTATTATATTAATTTATTAGTAATCATTTATTATATTAGTTTATAATATATTATATTTAATATTATATTTAACATTATATTATTAAAATCTTGGCCCATTAATGTATAAATATATTATTAGTATCATTATTATTTTACTTTTTTTTCTTTTTGTAATTTTTACACAATGTAATCAAAAATAATCATTTATCATTATTTGCCCATTAAAAGAAAAAAAAATATTACTATTAGAAAATATACAATTGAAGTACCACCAACAGAAATAATATACTAACTAATAAAAAAGAAAAAAAAAACCCGTTTAGTGATCGAAATTTAACACATAGCTATAGAAATCAATATTGATCGTTGAATTGATTTATCTCATCATGCTCATCGGTTTTTTTTCTTACATCAAAATTTTTTTTTTTTTTGGTTTATTACTTTTATATAATTTGAAGGATAAGTGCATACGGTCGTTTGAAAATACACTTTAAAAGATATCCTGAAGTATTAATCTTCTACCTTGCATCGATTTTTAAATACTATATTTTTAATAAATCTCCAAATTCAAATATTTTTAATTTTCCTTTTGAATGTTTAATACTAATTTTTTTAAAAAAAAATTATACAATATTTACAACTATGTATAATGATGATAATCATTTTCTATTGCTTTTTAAAAAAATAATAATCATTTTCAAATATTTGTGACATGTTTCAAGATGATGTTAAATACCATAAACTAAACTTACAAAATTATTCCACGAAA